GCTCTACCACTTGAGCCACAGCCCCACTTCCGGCTTTTTTCTTTTTGCTTATGTGGTGCTGAGGAATCAAAACTAGGGCCTCCTGCATATGAAGCAAGCGCCAACCTCCCAGCCCTGTATAAGTCTTGAATATGATATAGCATGTGTTTTTTAAAACAAGATACAATTTTACTGCAACTCTGTCAGAGGGCAAGACATGATGACTGCAGGGTAGTGAGGCCAGGCTAGGCCTCACTTCAGGCTGGGAAATGTGGCTCAGAGGGAGGCAGGGTGACTGTCCAGCATGCTAGACACCTTGGGTTCATAGTTACTTTAAATAAGAGGGGCAGGATGGAAAAGTTATAGAACCTGACTAATGGGGGCAGCACCATCAGAATTTCTTACTGTGTTTTAATAGCCCCTAAAAGTTTTTAGATTCTGGATGTAAGATATTTTATTGTGGCTTACATGTGAACATATAAAAGCTGAATTTATTTGAAAATCTTCCTTATTTAAAACAAAGTAGCCTAGTGTGATGGCACACTGCCTGTAATTCCAGCTTCTGGGCCTAGACAAAGCAAGAGTTTATCCCCTCAAAATAAGAGCTGGGTGCATAGCTCAAGTGGTAGAGTGCTTGCCAAGCATTCTGGATTCAATCCCTCACAACACATGCACACGCGCACACACACACACACACACAATGAATTTGAGGCTGTAAAGTTTTTTAAATGGAAAACAAAAAGGTTAGAAAACTTTTAAAAACCCACCCCACTCTAGATAATAGCTAAGCTGCCAATCAGTTTCTGACTTGTGACCTAAAGGTATGTGGCAGACATGTCAGTGAACACTCCTCACACAGCACGCCAAGGGTGATGCAAAAATAGTTTATTATGATATAGCTCATGTAAAGTGAAGGGATATTCACAAAGTAAGAGTGATCAGCCACAGGACTAGCATGTCATACAGAGAAATAAATATCTTGAATAAAGCAGCACTTCAATTGTAGTGAACACTTGATCACAAGCTTGTAGGAAAAAAGCCAAAAGCTGGACCAGAAAGTGTTGAATTGTCAGTGGGGGTGGGGCAAGCTCAGGTCTGTTCAGTGCTCAGCTCCGCAGCCCCAGGGGTTTCTCAGACCTGAGATGAGAGCTGGCTCCACTCATTGAACCTTTATTCTGCACATAATTTCTAGTGTGGTAACCAAAATCATTGTTTTTGAACAGAAATTAAACACCAGCTAAGATGGTTTGAGCTTGTTGTTTGAACCTTTATTGTGACAGCTGAATGGATAGCAGAAGTGATCTGTACATTTCCTTCATGGATGACTCCTCCCCTCAGCTGGAAGTCTGATTTGTGACCACAGAGCTGAGAGACTCACCCTGATATGAGGGCAGTGTATGGAAGGTCACCGAGACTGGATTGTCCAGGAGCCACTGGGTAGTTTATGCTTCATAAATATCACCATGGACTTGAGTTTCAATCTGAGCAGTAAATACATTCAAAGGAAACTCCTAAAATCATTTAATATTCTTTCAATTGAAGTTTTGTGCAACAACACAATAATGAATTTAGAGTTCTTACAATCTATTCTTTGCTAAAATAAAACCAGCAAGGTGATATGGCTATCTTCTAAATGGAAAAAAACAAAACAAAAAACAACAGAAAACAACAAAAAAAAAAACCCCAGGACATGTTGACCATAGCAGGCTGCAGAAGATTTTCTGAATCTGGTGATACCCGTTTCCCCAAACTTTATTTCTTTACATTGAATTTAAACTGTGTGCCAGGAAGGCTCTGTCAAACATGGAAATCAAAAAGTCCTAGCTACTCAGGAGGCTGAGATCTGAGGATCGCGGTTCAAAGCCAGCCCGGGCAGGAAAGTTCATGAAACTCTTATCTCCAATAAACCACCAGAAAACCGGAATTGGCACTGTAGCTCAAGTGGTAGGGCGCTAGCCTTGAGCTGAAGAGCTGAGGGACAGCGCCCAGGCCCAGAGTTCAAGCCCCATATCCGACCAAAAAACAAAAAAATATGGAAATCATAACCCAAGCTCTCAGTGAACCTTGGATCCTCCTACAGCTCTGGTGAAGTGCAGAAACACAGTGGAAGCTTTGAGACTGCCACTGTGCGATCAGCTGTAACTAGATAGCTACTCTGCAAAGCCTGCCCCTAAGCAGCCTAAAGCTGTGAGCAACTAGGTATGGTGCCTAGGCCACCACAGGCCTGTGTCTTCAGCTGCGATTTCTGACAGGCCTCTACCTGCAGACCTTTCCCCTTACTTCCCTGCGTTTATGTGAGGATTCTGAAGGGTTCTACCAAGAACAAGAACACTAATTCTCCTAGTGAACAAGTGTGGGTGTGATGGGTGGCGATCCTTAGATGCTGTACAGATTCTTTAAAACTTTCAGTGGCAAGGCTTTAAAAAAGATAGTCATTAACTTATGTTCTGCAAATGCTGAGCAGAGTACAAGGCTGCACTCAGTGCTTCCTCCCCATCTTGAGAAAGGGGTGTCATGATAAAAAATTAAAAAAGAAAAAAATTCCACACAAACTTTGTCACAAAAATCCCTGCAGTCACTTGTCACCAGTATTTATACTACGTGCCCCATGCAGCCCACATACAGGAAAGTTTGAGGAAAACAAGCCCACGCGTCTGGGTTGTGCAGTGGCTCTCGTCCTGTGGACTCCACTTTCAGCCTCGGAAGGAGCTGAGAAGGCAAGTGCCATCTGTTTCTAGAGAAGTGAGGCCACGTTCTAGAGGACCAGGCATTCTTCTGCACGCAGGCAAATGAGGTGCTGGCATATGTTCCCTTTTCCAGAAGGGACCAGTGCTGTTGCTGCAGCTTCAGTGTTCACCTGCTGCTAAGTACAGGTAGGAGTCTGCGGGCTCATGGCTTGTATCAGATGTGTACACGTAGGTACAGTGACTCCAGATTGCGCTTTGAGCCCTTTCCCTGCCATCAGGCTTTGTGAGGCCTGGTAGTGCATATCCAGCCTTGGTTCTAGAGACAGCTTGTTGGTAGGGATGTGTGTGCAGGGATTTGGCACATCCTGCCAGGCTAGGATACCATCCCTGGCCTCAGACTCTGGCCACGTGGTACCCAGGTACCTCCTTGGGAGGGCACCAGGCAGAGGTGAAAAGGACTGCACTCCTTGGCATGCTTCATGGGGTACAGGCACACTGTCCTTCCACACGTCCACCAAATCCTGTCAAGACTCATGGACATGTTCAAGTGTCAAAACTTTGGTGTTTTTTTTTTTTTGTAAGCGCTAAATAAGCATTGACCCTGGGCCTTGCGCTTGCTAGGTAGGTTCTCTACCACAGAGTGACATACTACCTGCCTCATTGCTGAATTGCCCAGGCTGGCCTCAAATTTGTGATCCTCTTGCCTAGTTCAGTTGCACACTTCTTCCCAGGGCAGGCTTGTCTCTGAGGGCCCTTCTGTCTTAAGCTGACTCACTGAGCCCACATTTCCAACTTGTTTTCCTCCGGACTGCCTGCAGCTCTGCTTCTTACTAGGGAGACTGTGGCCAGTGGACCCCCTGAAGCATTGTCCCCTGCTTGCCATCCCATGCTGGCAACTTGACCAGCAGATGAGTCTTCTGTGTGTGCTTGTGCTCTTGTTCCTGGCATGGTTTGCTTGCAGGTACCTGGCCCATTTCAAATGAGCATTCACAAGAAAACATTCGGAACTGTGAATGCCTTTCACCATTCTCTTTGCTGTAAAGAGGGAAACCCTGCCATGGCTATTCTGTTATAGGAGCAGCCTGAGGCTCCCAGTCATCTCCACAGCCCCTGCCACCCAGGCAGCCTGGAGAAGGACCTTCCTGGCCACTGCACAGTCCACTTCCACATGCTCAGTTCTTTCTTCTTCCCTCCGGAATGCACCTGGGCCACCTTGTCTTTCCTGTCTGGTTACTCCAGCTGGAGGACAGGACTGTCCAGCAGAAAACACTCATCCTGACCCAGAAAGGAGCCATCCCTGAGTGTCACTGCTCACAGCTGCCCAGGCTGCCAGCTCTTTGCCAGAGAGAGCCAGAATATATCCAGTTTTTTTCTTGGTCATACCCACACACTGAACCAGCCTTTTAGGCAGCGTATCTCTTGGGGTGAAGCTGGAACCCTGACTAGCAGGATGGGTGGAGCGCAGGTGCCCACTTGCTTATCTCCTGACTCCAAACCTCACATACTGCAAACCCCAAGTTCCTTTCCTAAGAGAAAATGATGACAAGAACAAGGGCTCTTTCTATCTGTGGTGGACCTGCTTTCATCAAAAGTGATGCAGGAGGAGGAGGTCACCAAGGAACCATAAACCATGCTTCAGTGGAGAAAGCATTAGTCCTCAGACACATGCACAGTGTGTCCAGCACATTCCCATGTTGGCATTTCTCAAAACACTGGTGATCTGATAGATTTTAAAGCATATTTGGTTTGCTCTTGCTATTGGGAACATGGAACAGTAGCAAAGGTGTGTGCCTCCCAGCGAGGAGAGCACATAGGGTGGGCCTCAGCCTTCTGACCTCCCAGGTTCGGTCCTCCTCCTGCACTCACTGGCGGTAGTCAGCTGATTAACTCATCAAGAAACTGACCAAGAATTTCTGTACTTTTCTCTCTCCAAGTATCCATGTCCCCAGAGACAACCCAACCAACCCTTGCATTAGCACAAAGGAGAGCTCCAGGCCTGGAGTCAGTGGACCTAGCAGCTGGGGCTTTGTGTTTGCATCTTAGCAGGACTAGAACAGAAACAAGAGATTTTCAAAAAGTGCTGCAGATTGTTCTGGGCAGGAAATAGGCCCTACTCAGACTGTTAGAAAAGCTAACTTTTAGCACTGGCTCACTTTAGGGTTTACCACACACAAGCTGATACCACAAGGGAACTTTTCCAGAGCCATGATCAACTGGAGTCCTGAGCACGGTCTGTTGGCTGTTCTCTCATTGGGTTCTGACCACCCACTGGACTTTCCTGACTTTGAATGGAACCTCCTCTTGGGCCTTCTCAAAAGCATGAGTTTTTCTTCAGGAAGACTTAAACCCAGCAACCTTCTCCCCTCTGGAGACTCCTGGAGGAATTCTTCACTTCTGGCAGCCAAAGCCCCAGGCTGCAGGCCACCAATCCCCGCAGCTGGAAGACAGTGACTGCAGAACAGGGGGGGCATGGGCGGAGGAAGGAATGAGAGGGCCAGGGGTTTTGTGCAAGATTTAATAAAAAACAAAAATAGGAATGGCTGCTTTCAACATTTTCCAGGTTGTGAAAGGTTTGCCAGGATTATCTGGGGCGTGGTTCTAAGCTGCATTAGTGGAACAAATACAAAATGCTATCCTCCTAGGCCAAAAAGGCAATGCCTGTAGGCTGTACCCCCACCCCAGGCCTCCTCCTCCTCTAGCAACCAGGCTGGCGAGCCACCGTAGGCCAAACCAAGACAGCCAGGTGGCTCTGCTGTGCCCAGCAGGGTTGTGTCCATCTGTGAGTGCTCAGGCTCATGCAGCAGAGCAGAGCCACAGGCAGCTTCCTGCACTTGTGCTCAGAGGCAGGGCTAGCTTATCAACAGGCTGCTGTGCCTTAATACTGACAGTGAGTGCCCTGGGACAGCGGGAGGGCGCTGCTCACCCCACTGCTTGAGCTTGACTACTTTTGGAATACCATGGGAAAAAGCTGTGATAAAGACAACGAGAAGTCAGAACCAACACAGCAGGGAATGGTGCAGACAACCCATACACCAGTCTCTCATGCATCCATACCCACAGCTAACGTTGACAGTACAATAAAAAACAAAGGTGCAGACAAGAAGCCACGCTCGGGTTGTGCCGCTGCCAGCTGGGAAGAGTGCGTGTTGAGTGGACCAGGACGCAGCTAGTCTTTCTTCAAGTCCCTGGATTCAAAGAGCTTCAAACGCTCCTGCACCGTCAGGCCTTCCTTCAGACTCTGGTGGAGGAGAAGCGGTGTTAAACTCACCGACATGGGTGCCCAAGCGGTTTGGGTGTGCAGGCGCAGACAAAGAGGCGGAGGGGCAGTCTCCTGAGATTGATTAGTGGGCATGCTGGGCACAGCACCCTGTGAAATGTTACTGGTGGAATGTATTTTTCCTGCAGACTCTCACTTGGATGGAAAATGGAGAACTCAAGAGAAATGAGGATGTGTCTAAGCAGTGCAGTTGTGGACTCTGGAATCGTGAGCAGCAAGCAGACTGGCCCAGCTGGGAAAGGCCTGTGCTGCTTCCACCACCTTCCTTGGTGTGGATGTGGGCACCTCCGTGCCTCTGCTTACCAACTTGACCACCTGTGTCAGGATGAGTGTCCTGCTCCCTGGGGCTGCCATCCTGCCCCACCTCAAGCTTTTTTTTCTGATGGGAACTGAGGGGTGGGGCCACTAGATGTTGCAAGCTTAGGAATGTGTCATTGTGTCCTATTGACACTTTCTGGAATGGAGAAGCAACAAGTCTATATACATGGAATACTAGATGTCCCCAAAGGACAGGCTGCTAACAGGAGAGGTTACTTCCCAATTTACCCTTACAAATTTTCATCTACACAAGAAACACAGCAGCACTTTTTAGAAAGCCAGTTGGGTTTCTGCTGGGCCTGGCTTCTCACAGTGCCAACTCCTGTATTAGTGGTCAGCAGCAGGCTCAGCCTCATAGGCTGTTTGAGTCTCACCCACACAGAGCTGGCAAGGCACAGGCTTTATCACTAAATAGGAATCCAAAGTTATTTCCCACTCAGACTAGTTTTAGGCAGAATTCAGGACAGTGTGAAACTACCTGTTGGACCCACACACAATTGTGGCGCCCTAGCACTGGGCAGCTCATGGCTCTTCCCAAGGTTGGGGCTCAGCTTCCTCCTGGGCTGAAGAAAGAGGGGAGCTCTGAGTGCTTTCTGTTCTGGGGTACTACTGCTTATGAGCAGGTGTATACCTACTTGAGACCCCTGTCTCAAGATGTCCCATGTTGGCCAGACTGAGCTGGCCAGCACAGAGCAGAACATCCAGCCACCCCAGGACAGACAGACTGACACTAAGTCCCTGCTGGGACAGGTCAGCTGGAGAATGGTTGGGGTGGCCTGTACTGCTTTAAGTGCTCAGTGCTATAGGACCTTCAGTTAGGATTTCAGTCAGCAGCTGCTCCTGAAACACACGCAGACAGCCCTGCATACGGCAACAGAAGCTAGGTAATAGGGCCAGGCTACAGTAGGCATTGGATGGCTCACAGGCAGAGTAAGCTCAGCTGGTTATGCTCATAATTCTGAGGGTAGAAAGCAGGCCAAACCCTGCTGCCCCTTGCATCCCCGCAATGCTCATCTCTTGCCACCCTCCTGGGGTACTGCTTTTGTAGGCTTTGGGTACAGTTGGCTCCCTTTGGGGCTCATACTTCCTCTACCACCACCCACCCCCAGGTCTCAGATACAGGCCCCCACAAGCTCACAGCAGAATTAAGCTACCTATTTCTGCTGTGAGTCTCCGAATAGGCTGTGCTGCTGGTAAGCAACTAACTTGCTTTGACTTATAGCACGGAGTGAGGCAGTAAAGAATATTCCTGGAAAACACCAGTCAGGGCACAGCAGAGACCATATAAAAAAGCATCAGTGGAGGCGAGTTTTGGCCAACTTGTTTCCTGTCTCTGTGTGAGACTACAAGAAGGCTCCAAATGGATTCAGGGAGCACTGACAGCCCCACAGAGTACCTGGTGTCCCCAGCATGGCTGTACAGCTCTGTCTTTCTGCTGGGCCCAAGCATGCCCTGCACACCAAATACCCCACCCACCCTAAAAATCTGAGAAAGCACCATGGGATGTTGTGTCTAGGTCTCCCTCTACCTTTCCCTCATCTTCCCTGTAAGTGGGGACTCATCCCAGCAGCCCTTCTCAGCCCTTTGCTCCAGAATCCAGCACTGTCACCAGCCAGACTTTTGCTGCTGAGCCCTCTGCTTGTCTACATGTCCCTGCCCGGGGTCATGTGCATGCCTGGAAACCCCACAGCACTGTTTCCTCCAGTGTCCCCGCCCCTTTCCAGCTGTTTCTAGGCCTTATTCAAAGGCCCAAATCACCCAGTGAACACCAAGTTCCCAAGTGTTTTCAAGTGTTCAAAGGCAATGGCTGAATTCATCAGCTTTGAGCTAGAACAGGTTTCCTTTTACTTTTTTTTTGTTACATATATTTTTATTAGCTTATATATGCATTCTTTAAATACACCTGGACTTTTTTTTTTTTTTTTAAGTCATGTTTAAGCCTAGACTTTTTTTTTTTGGGGTCCGGTCGTGGGGCCTGAACTCTGGGCACTGTCCCTCAGCTCTTCAGCTCAAGGCTAGCACTCTACCACTTGAGCCACAGCGCCACTTGCGGCTTTTTTCTTTTTGCTTATGTGGTGCTGAGGAATGGAACCTAGGCCTCAGGCATACAAGGCAAGCGCTCTACCACTGGCCAACTTCCCAGCCCCTAGACTTAAGTTTTCAGTCATACATTTAGGTACAAATGACTTGGGATTGGAGAATACTCAACACAACTAGGCTAAAGCCCTTGGGTGTTCTGTACTCTTCCTAAAGCCAACACCTTTCATCTGAGCCTCAGGCTGATGTTTCTTGCTGGCGGCCAGGAGGCTGGAGAAATGGTAAGCTGTGTGCAGGAGCTGGCACCTGGGTACTGTCAGCAGGGCAGCACTGTGCCATCCCTGAGCTGTGCTTCCTTGTCAGAGCCACTGAGTGGCAGCCACACAGCACCTTCCTGCTGTTCTTCCTCTAACAGGTGGATTCCACCCATCTACCACCTTTATTAGGGCATCTCCCATGAGGCCTAAGAATCAAGCCTATCATGTTGTTAAATGATTCCTTATTAGGTGCTGGTAGCTCACACCTGTAGTCCTACTCAGGAGGCTGGGCTCTGAGGATCGCAGTTCAAAGCGGCTTGGGCAGAAAAGACCACAAACTCATCTCTAAATTAAAAAAAACAACAAAACGCTGGAAGTGATATTGTGGCTCAAGTGGCAAAGCACTAACCTTGAGCACAAAAGCTCAGAAACAGTGCCTGGGCTCTGAGTTCAAGCCCCAGGACTGGCACCAAAAGAAAAAACAAAAAGAAGGGGGCAGTTGATACTCATCCTCCCTACATGTGGTCACCAGACCATTTACTCAGCCATTCCCCCAGCTGCTGCACATGGTGTGCTGCTCAGGTTCTTGAATAAAGAGGGCGGGGTGGGACAGGGGGGGTGGGGGGGGGCGAGAGAAGGGAAGGAGGAGAGGAGGAAGAGAGGAGAGAGCAAGAGCTGGGCAGTGGGGACCAGCTCCATGTGTCAGGAGCTCCTGGGAAGTCTTCACTTGCCAAGAACAGCAGGTTTCTGCCACTGCCTATTTTGACACAGGGTAAATGGCTTGCTTCCAGAGAAGGTGTGTGAGTTCAGGGCTGTGCAGAGATCACACCTGCCCACCTAGCTGGGTGGGCTCAGCTCTGTGAAGGGGTTAGAGTGCCAGTAAGCTCCCCAGGACAGCTACTGGGACATCTCATGGACTTTGTGTGTGCTTGCTGAGAAAAATGAAATAAAGTAACGATTATGAAGGTGTGTGCTGTGGAGGTGTGAGCAGTGCATGCAGAGCCGCCCCGTGCAGGCCGTGGGTGGTGGTAGGAAGTGGTTTACCTACACGACTGGGGACCTGGAAGCGGACGCGAGTCAGTTATCCCATGAGACCTGCTCAATTACGGACTGTCAGAGGAAAAAGCAAAAATAAGACACACACACAATCAATCCTAATGCAGCATGCTGGCCACATCCCCTCCACCCTTCACCCTGGAGACACAAGGCTGACACTGGGAAGAACCTGGGAACTGGCCACTGCATAGCTGGGGAGGGAGGGTAGACAGTTTGGCCTCTCAAAGACACATTGTCAGTCTGATGACCAGGGCACACAGGGACACAACAATAGGACAGTGGAGCTGCTTTTAGAAGGGGCTGGAATAAAGGCTAGTCTAGAAGGCAAAAAAGCTGATTCTTCTGTGCCCTGGCCTTTGTTGGTGTGGTCAGGAGGTGGTACACAAAAGATGCAAAACTTGAAGCCTCCAGAACCAGCCCATAATGGGGCTGGACTGGTGCCTGGACCTGGGGCCCATAGTGGACTTGGGATTGGCCAATGCCTAGGCCTTGTGTCTCCTCTTCCCACCATTTTCAAGCCCCCAGCAGGGGCACCCTTCTTACCTTGGACCTGATGTTTCTGAGTTGCCGGGTAACACAGGATCTGTCTTTCTTGAGGAAGTCGGGGTTGCTTTTAGATTTCATTATGTCTAAAGGAACAAACAGATCTATTACCTCTGTTTTCTAAAAAACCCTCTGAAATCAGACAATTTAAAGCTCTAAGCTCACCACTGTAGTATACTTAGCTATTTAGTTGAACAGTCTAGGATAAGTCAAACAATAACTGCAACATACAGTTGGCCTTTCAGGGAATATGGCAAAGAAGCAGAGGAGGAATGGGTTGGGTGTTCCTGCCTGGACAGTCAGTGAGGGACAGGAGCTTGCTCCTGAGCTAGACTTGCCCTATCTGCTAGGCAGACTAATTTGCAACATTACTCATTTGTGTACTGTTTCTCCTTGACGACAAGGTCAGATCAAGGCTTTTTCTTTTTTGTTGGTCTTGGGGCTTGAACTCAGGGCCTGGGCACTGTACCTGAGCTCTTTTTGCTCAAGGCTAGTGCTTTACCACTTTGAGCCACAGCAAAACTTTAGTTTTCTGGTAGTCTCATGGCCTTTTCTGCCTGGGCTGGCTTCAAATTGTGATCCTCAGATCTCAGTCTCCTGAGTAGCTGAGATTACAGGTGTGATTATAGCCAGTGCCCAGCAAAGCTGGACAAAACAAACATTGAGTCATACTGCAGTAGGCTTTTTTCAGTTTTTACTTAATATGTTTATGGATCGCTCTCTAGGTCAACACAAAACATCTTCCTGACCTTTTTTTACCTGCATTCTTTTCTATTATGTATGTGCTTGGGCCATGTGCATTTCACACATCCTGATTTGTGCTTATGGTAGGTTACTGTTTCTATGATCAGCGCTCTGTTCACATTCTGTGTTTGCAGTTTCTGGAGGTATCAAAACAGATCAGCCAGGCGCTCACACCTGTAATCTTAGCTACTCAGGAGGCTAAGATCTGAGGATCATGGTTTAAAGACAACCTGAGCAGGCAAGTCCACGAGACTCTTTATTTCCAATAAACCACCAGAAAATGGAAGTTAAGGTGGCTCAATGTGATAGAGTGCTAACCTTGAGCTGAAGAGCTGAGAGACAGCCCCCAGGCCCAGAGTTCAAGCTTCACGACTAACAAACAAAACAAAACAAAAAACAGATTAAAGACACACACATTCTCTCACTCTTTTTTTTTTTTTTGGGGGGGGGGGTGGGTCCGGTCATGGGGTCTGAACTCTGGGCCTGGGTGCTGTCCCTCAGCTCTTCAGCTCAAGGCTAGCACTCTACCACTTGAGCCACAGCGCCACTTCCAGCTTTTTTCTTATGTGGTACTGAGGAATCAAACTCAGGGCCTCGAGCATGCAAGGCAAGCACTCTACCACTGAGCCACCTTCCCAGCCCCACATTCTCTCACTCAGAAGCCACTGCTGTAGCACCTTAGTAGGCCATATTGCTGTATATCCTGACAACCTTCCAGAGGCCATGCCAAGGGCTCTTCTTGCAGGTTGTGCCAGTGTTGCCATGGCTATTGCTCCTGGGCTGCCTAATGAGAGAAGCTTACTTCCTTGGATACTATATTGGAGAGCTTGAACAGATTTTCCTGTTTGTGGGTAGCTAAAAAAAAATCACTATGAGTTGGGTAATGATGGCTCATGCATGTAATCCTAGCTACTCAGGAGGCTGAAATCTGAGGACTGTGGTTCAAAGCCAATCTGGTCAGAAAAGTCTGAGACTCATCTCCACTAAACTACTCAGAAAAGGCTGGAAGTGGTGCTGTGGCTCAAGTGGTTGAGGCCCAGAGATGGTGTCCAGGTCCTGCGTTCAAGCCCCAGGACCAGGAAAAAAAAAATCACTTTCAAGGTCAGAAAGAATAAGAATCATGGATTTCTGAAAGTATCTGACAAGGTGTGGCTTTGTAGTCCTCTTGGTGGTCTGTCCTATATAGCACCTTTATGTTTTTAGCCAATCTAGAGAAGAAGAGTCAGTCCTGCTTTCTACTGGAGAAGGTAGGTGCTTTCTCCTCTACCTCATGCAGGGCCTTTTCAGATTTTATGGTAAAACCTGTATTTAAACAACCAGCAAGAGCTTCCACACAGTTGTAGAGTCTGGAAAACAGACAAAACGATTTTACTATGGAAATGTGCTGATGGAACAGCTTCTCAGAGCATTTACTCTGAGATGCAGGAAAAAGGGCAGCTCACGCATGCAGGGCCCTCTCCTGCATTCCTGCTTTACAAGAAGATGAGATCTACGATCAGTATCCTTACATTGTGACTAACATCCAAGGAGCCCCAGAAGCAATTGTTCAAAGCACTAACCATATCCCGACACAGCAGTGCTCTCAGGGGATTTCTCTCCCAGCGCTTCTGTAGCTGCTTTTAGCTGCTCTTTCAGCCTGCTGATATCACAGTCAGCCTTGGCCTTGGCAATGCTGAGCTCTGTGTAGATATCTTTATACTTGTCACTCGCGTACTTCTTGTCCTAGGAAATGAGGAACAGAAGCAAATGACAGCAATGTCTAGAGGAAAAGGCTTCTATCAATTCCCAGCTTCTATCAATACCCATTTTGGGGCTGACACTCTCCTGAGGAGACCTGGCTACAGCTGGGAAACTTACTGTTCTCCTGTGCAGTACCAGAACGCATGGACCTTCTCTGAAGGCAGAAACTGAGTATAAAGAAAAACAAATGGGCCCTGCAGACAGGATAGTCAGTATAAAAGGATAGACCTCTGCCTGCTGGGTGTGGCCTTGACTGTACATCTAGTGGGCTCAGCCAGGAAAACCCTGTGTCAAAAATTCCATTGCATCCCTTTTTTTTTTTTTTTTATTTTTTTAGGGGGAGGAGGAGGGAAGTTGAGGGAGAGCCTGAGTTAAAGTCCAAGTACTGGCACAAAAGAAGAGGGGAGAGGGAAGAGGAGAGGAGGGAAAGAGAAAAGGGAAAAAGGGAAGGGCATTGCATCCCTTTTTTTTTTTGGTTGGTCGTGGGGCTTGGGCGCTGTCCCTGTGCTCTTCAGCTCAAGGCGAGCACTCTACCGCTTGAGTCACGGCACCACTTCTGGTTTTCTGGTGGTTAATTGGAGATAAGAGTCTCATGGACTTTTCTGCCTGGGCTGGCTTTGAACTGTGAGATCCTCAGATCTCAGCCTCCTCAGTAGCTAGGATTACAGGTGTGAGCCACCAGTGCCCGGCCTGCCTCTCTCTTTTTGAATCCAGGAATCTCCTAGAGGAGCCAAGTCAGGCCTAATTCTGGATGGAAGACAAGGCCTTCCTTTTACCCCCTAGAACATTTCTCTGGCTATCATAGCTCCTGCTCAAGTACCCAGAAACATGAAATGACAACCAGATGGCCATGCCAGGTGGGCTGCTCACTTCTAGAGCTTGACTTTGGAACACTGACCCCTTAAAAAGTAAAACTCCAGATTGGCAGTGCCAAGCCAGGGAACACAACCTCCTTGCCCAACTCTAGTAGTGAGGTCATTACCCGAAGTGCCGTTTGGAGTTCATCCTTGAGAGAGCTGATCTCCTGCTTCAGGTATTGTATTTCTGATTCCTTGACCCGCAACAAGACCTAGGATGACAGAGAGCAAGAGAGAGAAAAAAAATGACTTTCGGCCAAATGGATGGCTGCTCTATGTACCATGGAGCCCAGTACCCAACAGAAAATAGAATTTTCAGATTGCATAAAGCTTCCTCTTTATGAAGAGAACTAGGAAGAAGGAAAAAACAACTACCATCCTCCCTAGTCCCAACAATTGTATGCTTCAGTCTCAAGACCTAAGTGCTGCTGACCTGTTGGTCTCCTGGATGGAAGCTACAAGACATGGGACACACTGTTCGGGTGGAAACTTCTGCCATACTTACCTAGCTGATTTTCTCCACTGTGCAGTATAGTCTTCATTAGTATGAGGCATTTATGTGGTGAAATTTTAATCTACTGGTAAATATCTTAACCTAATGGGAGAAAACTACGTGCCTATCTGACATCAGAATCACTTTGTTCCCCTCTATTTTTTGAAATAGGATTTCACTCTGTTGTTCAGGATGTAATGTAAGGCCTGGTTCATTACCTCTAACTCGTAGGCATCCTTGCCCTGTGTGAGGGGTGATCCAGCTGCCTCCCCACCACCATCCCCGGTCAGCAGTGTTCGCAACCTTGTGATCTCCGCAGCCAGGCGGTTATTCAGCTCCTAAGGGACAGCAACACAACAGAACAGAGACCTTCCACAGAGCTACCCCTGCACTTGGGAAGGTCATTTCTCCCAACAGTATGCAAAGACACGGCAGCAGCAAAGCTAGGAGTATTTAACATTACTATGTGTGAGGTACAGCATTTAAGGCTGTGTGATATAGCCTCTTAAAAGCTATTACCTGGATATTTGCATATAGTATTGTTTGGTATTGGTTGAGGACTGGCTCTAGGACTTGTGAGAGGTACCAGAATCTGTGGAGGCTGCAGTCACTAAAAAAAGTAGTATGGTACTATATGGAACCAATGCACATCCCCCCTCCATAGTCTTTTTAAAAAATCTTTTACTGTTATTATGAGGGGTACTATGAGGGGTTACAGTTACATAAGTCAGAGTACATTTCTTTCTTTTCTTTTTTCCCCGGTCATGGGGCTTGAACTCTGGGCCTGGGCATTGTACCTCAGCTCTTCAGCTCAAGGCAAGCGCTCTACCACTTGAGCCATGGTGCCACTTCTGGTTTTCTGGTGGTTTATTGTAGATAAGAGTCTCATGGACTTTCCTGCGCAGGCTGGCTTTGAACCACGATCCTCAGATCTCAGCCTCCTGAGTAGCTAGGATTATAGGCGTAAGCCATTGGCGCCTGGCTTTTTGTTTCTGGCCAGTCCTGGAGCTTGAACTCAGGGCCTAGGCACTGTCCCTGAGCTTCTTTTTGCTCAAGGCTAGCACTCTACCACTTGAGCCACAGTGCCACTTCCAGCTTTTTCTGTTTATATGGTACTAAGGAATTGAAACCAGGGCTTCATGCATGCTAGGCAAGCACTCTAACCACTAAGCCACATTCCCAGCCCAAGAGTACATTTCTTTTGGGACAATGTCACACCTTCGCTTGCTCTCTCCCAGCTTTTCCTTCCCACTCCCTCCTACAAATTGTATAGTTCATTTTCTAGTGAGTACTACTTCTGAATTCGTTCATCCATTATCTTTCCATTTCTGTGCCTCCTCTTATATATAAATAAATGAACAGGCAAAAAACCCAAAAAACAGCAAAAAAGAAAAAAAAACCCTTCTTGTTTCCATTTCTTAGAGTTCGTTTTGACAAATATTATTTTGTATGATACTGGGTATCATGGAGATACCCTATGTGTAGTTGGTTTGCATTGTTTAGGGAAGACTACAAGGAAGTCTGTACATTGCAGATACAGTTTGTTCCCCTTAAGTATTTTTACCTACATTTAGTCAAATCTGTGGATGCATAACCAGCAGACGCAAAGAGCTGACTGCATCTTTACAGCATAAACTTTCATACCTTTCTGCTATTACTAACAATGTTTCCTTGTGTCATGGTTTGTCACATACAAGTTCCTACAGGATTTGGCCAACCTTCCCACTTCCTGAATTTTCTTTTTGGCTGACAAGGGGAAATCTTCAAGCCACTGTAGTGATGGTGCCTGGGCAGCCTCATGCATGATCCCGTGTAGCATGTCAATGGGCTCAGGGGGCCAAGGAGGAAAACAGGATGGTGCTGGTATAGGAATCTAATCTGGTGCCAGCAGAGAACTTTACACAGGACCCAATGTTATTGCCTCCAACCCTCTCCCTTTCCCCAGTCGATGCCCATACTATCCTGAGTGCACCCAATCTCATCTGATCTTGGAAGCTGAGCAGGGTCGGGCCTGGATGGGAGAAATAGCAAATTCTATGAGAATGATCTGATACTTATAAATGTAAAGCCCAGCTCCCATGAATGGAATATTCTGACTCTGGGGACGAGCCACAGGCTATGCTCAGCAATGAACTGGAGGCTCAGAGAAGCCACCAGACTTAGGGTCCTGAAAGGGCTGAAGGGAGTGGCTCGAGACTCTAGCACCTGGTTTCACTGTGGCAGGGCAGCCTCATGTGAACTGCAAAGAGCTTCTGGCAACAGACAGAGAATAGCAAGAAGGCCACATACTAGGTATCCAGGACATGCTGTAGGGATGGGATATCTACTTCATTGTCATAGAGAACCTCAGGATAACCTTAAGGATGAATCCTAACCCAGCCTGGGCTTACCTGGTTATGGGCATTAAGCTCCTGGTTTTCACGCTGGCACTGCCGTAGGGCCTGCCGCTCGGCCTCCAGCGCTTGGGCCAGGTGTGCATTCTCCAGGCACTTCTGTGAGTACTGCTCTGAGAGGACTTCCAGCTCCCGCTGCACTGACTGCAGCTCTTCCCTGCAGAGACAGCAACATTTAGCCCTGTGCCAGAAGTGCTTTGCACAACTGATTCCATGTCTAGCCTGCTCTGCTGTACTGCTGGGACTCCCACAAATGGCACCTCTCTGGTGATACCACTCTGAACAGAATCTAGTTACCATGGCAACACAGACATCTGTTTCTGAGAAGTCAGGATGGGACTCTTCTCATTTGAGAAGTATTTTTAGAACTCCATCTTCTGTATCATCTGAAAGCCCAGGAACCATACAAGGAAAACAGCCCTCAGGATGCTATTCTCAGCCACCCTGGATCCAGAAGGGCCATGTTCCGAGGATGGAACAGAAGCTGAAGACTTTTGGATGAAAGGCTCAACTCTGTCATCAGCCCAATCAAGTGAACATACATGCCATATGAGCTGCTGTGGCCTGGGCCTGAATGCATTCACTGCTCCCAATGTATGTACCTAGCCCTGACAAATCCCTTTTCAGAGGGGCTCTGCATATATTTTTTTTTTTTTGGTCAGTCATTGGGCTTGAACTCAGGGCCTGGATGCTGTCCTTGAGCTCTTTTACTCATGGTTAGCACCCTATCACTTTGAGCCACAGCTCCACTTACGGTTTTTTGATGGCTAACTGGGGATAAGAATCTGCAGTATTTTCCTTCCTGAGCTGGCTTTGAACTGCCATCCTCAGATCCTGGCCTCCTGAGTAACTAGGATTACAGGTGTGAGCCACCAGTGTCTGACACATATGGGGTTTTTAGAGCCATGGAGCCTTGGGTACCAAGCCCTGGCCAGGCTCTCAACCCCTTATGACAAAATAGCACTGATGCAGAACTAGTTGATCTTGGTAATCTGCCTTGGACAAGCTAGGATTTTAAAATGTCATTTATAATTCCCTCCTGTGAAGGGGAAGCAGACAGGACTAAAAGGAAATAGAAATACTGCCTCAAGTGCCCATGGTCTGCTTAAGGCCTGAAAATTAGTCGAGTGTTACTGAGAGGAACCAAGTAGGTGGCCTTTTTCCTTCCCCCTCCCCGCCATGAGAATAAAGTTTATTAAATAAAAAAATAATTTATTGTACTTTTTTCTTTGGATTTAGTGATTACTTTTTATTTTAATACAGGAAGCTCCAGTTGGCCATGTCTGCCTATGGAAAGGAGGGTGGTATGGGCTGACTTAGCACCAAGGCCTCATAGCCTCTCTGGACCAGCCCTAAGGTTCACATTCTCAGAAAGGCAGGGTTCTCGACTCCTAGCCACCCCTAGCTATCCTCAGGTACTTGAAGGGAAAGGCAACTCACAGGTACTGCCGCCTAAGGGCTTCAATGTCGGAGTTGATGCTGCTGATTTGGGACCGCTGGCTCTTCTCTAACTCTCGCTCCATCTCCTCCCGGTGAGCATTCTTCATTGCTTCAATGGCTGTAAGGAGGACAAGGCCCTCAGTACCCAGGGCTGCAGCTGCACACTGTGGTGGCCCTTCCTACTGCCATTCCTCCCAAGAGACTAAGGAGGATAGACTAGTGTAATATTCACCCACCACTGCCATCAGGATAAGCGTGGTCTCTCATAGACCCATTCTCAGGGGTACACAGACAGGGAGAATTTCCATACCAGTTCTTTCCAGGGGACTATAGGCATATTATTTCTGGTTTTAGAAAACCCAAAACCAATTAGATAAATCTGTAAAACAAGCAAGTGGCACACTTTCTTTGTTGACACTACAATAATGTCCCACCATGATGCCACTACACAGCAACAGCAGATGACAAGACACACCAGTCAAGGCTGTGACAAAACGGGAGAAGGGATGGCATCCATGGGCTCAGGCCAGGATGTGTTTCTTCCACAAGTGTCTGTCAGAGGGTCTGACAGAGGTGGGGAGCTGGTCCTGCAATGTCACAGGCAGTTGGCTCTCAATTGTTCTGGAAAGGCTCCTTGTCTCTGCTGTTGTCCAAATTAAACTTCAAGCTTGGTTGCAAGGCAGTGGACGTAGGCATCTCTGAATTGAGTGCCCCCTCCTACCTACCTGAGATGGTAGCTGCGGTCTCCTCAGCCAGGAGGCGGTCCTTCTCCTCCCTCAACTTCTCCAGCTCCCGCTGGTGCTGCCTCTGCAAGTCTTCAATCTTCTTTTGGTGAGTCTCCTCCATGGCAGCAAAGCCTCGCTCGCATGTGGCCTACAGAAGGCAAGATAACCTGTGTGTTTTTCCCAAGTGGGTACCCTGTGCCAGCACACTTCCCTATTCTGGCCCAGTGACAACTGGCATTTGCTGCATGTCACCCACAATAGGAGAGCAAGGAGCAGGCTCCCAAAATATGGAGACATTTTGGGACATGGCCAGTGTTTCCAGCCACTGGTGCTTTGAAATCTGTGTGCAGCTATAAACTCTTCATCTATTTTCTGCCACTATTCTGAAGCCCATTTCTTTTGGGGGGGATAGTACTGGGATTTGAACTCAGAGCCTCACACTTTCTAGGCAGGCGCTCTACTATTTGAGTGACCTCCTAGATGTGAACCTCATTTCTTCATAAGGAAGGTTGATATTCCTCCAGTGGGAAGATGGTGTGGCAGAATTTAATCTGGCCAACTGTAGGTCTATTTCACCACCAGGGAAACTGACGGGAACAAGACAAGCATATACACTCATCATGTTTGGTTTGGAGTGATAAGACTCACATGCAGTGACAAATGGGATGACCTGTTATGTTCTACCCATCCTGTGGGTTGGGGACTATGCCAGCTAATGACCTAAAGTTGGTTATTTGACCCCTCAGCCACACACTGAGGGAGTAAGAATAGACTCTAGGATCTTCCTCCTGTAACCTGTCCCTTATTACTTCCTCTTTTAAAGGGGAACAGAGAAACCAAGTCAATGAGGGCTTCCACCACCTTTCCCAAGACAGGACAGAAGAACCATGTTCCCACCTGACCTGGTAGGACATGGGGGAATCCCAAGAGGAGCCCATACCAACCCATACAGCCAAAGCGAGCCTAGGCCTTGCCTGCCAGAGCTACTTGTACCACTAAGTCACATATGGCCACATGCCTGGTGTGAGCAGTACCTTTGTGCACAAGGGCACTCTCCATCCAAGCCTCAAGATATGCTTTGGGGCAGATTCACTCATTTTATTATTTTTCTTTGCCAGTCCTGGGGCTTGAACTCACGGCCTGGGCACTGTCCCTGAGCTTCTTTTGCTCAAGGCCAGCACTCTACCACTTGAGCCATAATGCCACTTCCAGCTTTTTCTGTTTACATGGTACTGAGGCATCAAACCCAGGGCTTCATGCATGTTAGGCAAGCACTCTACCACTAAGCCACATTTCCAGCTTGAATGGCCTTTTCAAATCGTTGGTTACAGGCAGGATTTCTACAAAGCATGAGCTGCACTGGCAAAGGTCTTCACTACTGTCCACTATGATCAGGAAGGACATCTCTTCTCCCCAGGGGCTTGACCCTGGAAGATGCATGTCTCCTGACCTGCTTCTCTACTTGCTGGCCTCACTCCACAGCCAGGCCTGGAGAAACCTCTAGACCTCCATGCCACTGCCTCACTCCCTGCTTTCCCCTCCCACACATGTGGTTCACACCTAGTTCTCAGGCAATATACTTGGCTACAAAATGCTGAGATTAGAAGTGGTTTTAAATCTCAGGATCTTTTTTTTTTTTTTTTTAAAAGATTTCAGAATATCTGTACCATATATATGAGATTCTGGGGATAGACTAAGTCCAAACATGAAACTCATTTGCTTCACCTATACCTTATAAATATAGCCTGACGGTGATTTTATACAGTATTGTTAAGGTGCCTGAACACCACATCAGATGTGGAATTTTCCACATCTCATTTTGGATTCCCAGAAATAGAATACTCAACCCTGCAGTTGACATATTTTGATTAGTTTCCAATGGTTTGGCATATATGAAGACAGGGTCAGAATTCTTTTGCTCCCTTTTTTCTAGGTTCAAGATCAGAACTTGAACTTGGTACCTGACGCTTTCGCTCACTGGTTAGCACTTTATCAAGTGAGCCATGCCTCTAACCTCTCAAAAATTCTTCCAGCAGAAACAATGAGGTATCTTTAAAGACCCAATTGCTTCCCTGTGAAGATATCCATTTTGTACAACCAATGGATGCTAACTCAAACTAATTTTACTGGGGTTTTGAACTTCAGGCCTCATGCTTGCTAAACCCGTACTCTACCACTTAAGCCATGGCTCCAACCTCTTTTGTGTTAAGTTTCTTTCTTTTGTCTGTTCCAGGGCTTTAACTCAAGGCCTTGTGCTCTGGGTTGGCTTGCTTGCTCTTAGCTGGCACAATACTGCTTGAGCCACATTTCCTTACCTCCTCAGATCTCTGCCTCCTGCATAGCTAAGATTATAGGCATGAGCCACTGGTGCTCAGCCTATGTGTACTATTTTCAAGATAGGGACTCACTTTATGCCTGGTATGGGCGGCCAGTCCTCCTGCTTGTGCTTCCCCATGACACTCGGGATGACAAGGCACATATCATCATGCCTAGGCATTGATCAACATGGAGTTCCCTGGAGCTGGGAAGGTGGCTCAGTGGTAGAGTGCTTGCCTTGCATGCATGAAGCCCTGGGTTTGATTCCTCAGCACCACATAAGCAGAAAAAGCCAGAAATGGGTCTGAGGCTCAAGTGGTAGAGCACTAGTCTACAGCTGAAGAGCTGAGAGACAGCACCCAGACCCAGAGTTCAGGCCCCACGACCAACAACAACAACAACAAAAGATGGAGTTAGCCAAACTTTTTGCCTGGGCTGGCCTTGAACTGTGATCCTCCAATCTCCCTATCTCAAGCAGTTAAGATTATAAGCTTGAGGGCTGGGAAGGTGGCTCAGTGGTAGAGTGCTTGCCTTGCATGCCTGAGGCCCTGGGTTCGATTCTTCAGCACCACATAAGCAGAAAAAGCCAGAAGTGGCACTATGGCTCAAGTGGTAGAGCACTAGTCTTGAGCTGAAGAGGTGAGGGACAGTGCCCAGGCCCAGAGTTCAGGCCCCATGACTGGCCAAAACAAAACAAAGATTATAAGCTTGAGTCACTATATCTAGCACGGAAACCAAAAAAGTTCCTCAGTGGCTATGACAGAGCTGTGGTAGGAAGTGGGGCACTGGTCCATGGGGGTCAGTGCTATAGTCCCCTAACAAGATGGAAGTCTGCAGAGAGCAGCTTCGCCCAGGTAGCCTGTCTTACGAGATTGTCTGGTTATATATGTTCCTTGTGTTAGCTGTTGATGAATGCCAAACAAGTTGGCAGACATCTGCATCCAATGCTATCTCCCGACCAGTGTTCTCTGCATCAAAGGAGTTTTTCTCAGGCCTACCAAAATCTTTTGCTGTCACTAACTAGTGGCAGATGACCCTAGGACTAGGCCCATCTGTACACAGCTGACTACTATGCAGCTAGAGCAGCTACTTATGGAAGCTCCTGTGAATGCAAAGAGGAAGTCAACAACAGTGGCAAGGGGTGCAGTCGGGAAGGGAACTATGAAGCAGGTTTGGGGTCAAGACCAAGGTCTATGCCACTTGAAAGTGGTATTGGGATTTGAACTCAGAGCTTTACATTAACAAGCTAGGTCAATGTGTTACTACTTGAAGCACACATATTTTTCTTCTCTCTCTCTCTCTTTTTTTTTTGGTTGGTTGTGGGGCTTGAACTCTGGGCTTGGGTGCTGCCCCTCAGCTCTTCAGCTCAAGGTAACCGGCTCTACCGCTTGAGCCATAGCACCACTTCCAGTTTTCTAGTGGTTAACTGGAGGTAAGAATCTCACAGACTTTCCTGCACGGGCTGGCTTTGAACTGCAATCCTTAGATCTCTGCCTCCTGAGTAGCTAGGATTACAGGCGTGAGCCACTAGTGCCTGGCACATTTTTTTCTTTACTGTGGTTATTTCTTTTTTTATGGGCCAGCCTGGACTGTGATCCTATTTTCACTTTCCACCTTTCCATCTGGTGAAAAGGTGACTGGTTGGTGCCACCAAGTCCGGTCTTTTCCGTTGTGATGGGATTTTCTGAACTTTACTTATTTTCTTGCCAGTCCTGGGGCTTGAACTCAGGGCCAGGTGCTGTCCCTGAGCCTTTATGTGTTCAAGGCTAGCAATCTATCACTTGAGCCACAACACCACTTCTAGGTTTTTCTGAGTCTATTGGAAATAACAGTCTCATGGACTTTCCTGCCCTGGTTAGATTCGAACAGCGATCCTCAGATCTCAGCCTTCTGAGTAGCCAGGATTATAGGTGTGAGCTACCAGCACCCGGCTTCTTGTGAACTTTTTTGCCTAGGTCTTCCTAGAACAAAGATCCTCTGGATCTCAGTCTCACATGTAGCTGGAATAAGAGGTTTACATCATTCACCCAGCCTTTTCTATTGAGATGAGGTCTATGAACTTCTTTTAGCAGGGCTTGACTTGAACCATAATCCTCCTGGTCTCCTCTTGAGTAGCTAGATTACAGGTATGAGCCACCAGCACTGACCTTGTGCCATTTACTCTTAAAGGCACACTGGATTTACCTGATGGTAGCCAGTAAACTGACCATAGGGCCAGCAAATGTATATTTGGGGAAAATAGCCAATGAAGCATCCTCACAACGCATGATGGTTTTTAAAAGGCTTGGAGTTAGGAAAAGGACCTCAAACAATGTTTTAGCTACCTAAGAGAGTGCTCACTGCTGTGTAATTACAGAGACAAAGGATAAACTGCAGAATGAAGATAGCCTTTGTGTTCAGCACTAGAGGACTAGGGTGTTGGGAAACAATCACAGGCAGCAGCCCTGGCCAGCAGGGACCAGTATGGCTTTTCCTAGGGACCATGTGTACTTCCCAAAAGGGGGAGGAAATGACGATACAGCTACTAAGAGATGGTGAGACTCTCCAGGATTATGCCTGGGTAGCCACACATATGCTGTGGTGTGAGGTCACAAAGAAAACCTGGACCCCTTCCTGGCCTCACCCTGAGTAGCCTGGATATCTCCTATGCAGCCAAGGTCTGGGGATAGAGAGTGAAGCTCCTGGAGATAAGAGCACTTGGAAGCTGTACTTCAGTCAAAGCCCTTCTTAGATACTACCCTACTCCATGCCAGATCCTCTGAGGGACCTTCAACACTGACTAGCAAATAGTCTTTGTCAGAAAGTCTTAACTGCTGTCCTCAGACAGTCAGGAGAAGGTGGCTACCCTTCAGGGGTGTGAGGTAGTCTTCAGGTAGATGGGGTTCTGTTGGGGAGGAAGGAGGGATCCTCTGGGGGACATGGAGAGACCAGGGGAAGACCATTCTGTTCTTCCATAGGGACACATCTTTTCTGTTAATCTTCCTAACAGAGGGATTAAGAGGGATAACAGGACCTCATTGCCATCTTATCTGCATAGCAGCTGACCAAGAAACACCTCCCAGATCCTACCCTGAGGGTCCTATCCAGTCCTGTGCCCTGCACCCCACCCATCAAGAACTGGCTCGACAAATTAAATGGTACTAAAGACCTTGAGGTTTTCAAAGTCCCGCTGGTACTTCTCCCGTAGTGTAGCTGCATCGCCCTCTAGCTCCTTGTGGCCCAACTCTTCCCGCATGACATCCATTTGGGCCTCTAGCTCCTGGATGCGCTCTCGCAGCCCGGTCATGGAGTCAGGTTCCCTGTCAGCCTCCTGGGCATCCCCAGGCTCAGGCTGCCAGCAGGGGGAGGAAACTGAAAGAGCCTCAGAGTGCCGCTGTTGGCAGAGACCAAGGGTCTCTTGAAGGCTCCGTGCATAGTGCTCCTGCAGAGCTCTCAGCTCTTCTTCATGGATGGCCTGAAGTTCCTTGATCTTCAGCTGGAACCTATCTTCCAGTGTCTGCATCTGTTGTACATGCTGCCGCTCCATGTCCTGTTTATCTCTGACTGAGGCATCCAGCTGGCTTAGGACCCGGCTGCGCTCAGCCTGCAGTGTGTTCTCAGTGCGATTCAGCTGCTCCACCACACATCTGATCTCCTCTTCATACCTGCCCTGCAGGGCAAACATGCTTTCACTGTGTTTGCTTTCTGCTTCTTTGAGACACCTTTGCTGATGGTCTAGCTGATTCACCTTGGCCTTGAGCTCAGTGTTTTCCCTTTCAATGAGGGTGATCACTTCCAAGTATTCACTCTTTTGCTTACGAAGCAGTTCTTCATATTCCTCTCGCAGGACCCCAACTGCGTGTGCCTGCTCCTGGCAAGAAGGCCCCCTGGCTTTCCAGGATGCCTTATAGAACTGCAATTCCTTTTCATACTCCAACCGAATTCTGCAGGCTGCATAGCACACTTGAGCTTGAATAATTGCATCTTGAACCAGTAATGAAGAATACTGACTGAGGCCTGCCAGACAAGCATTGTATGAGAGATTCTGGGACATCTGTAGAAGCTTCTGACAATTCTGGAGTGACTCTGAGGGTGGCAGAGCTGGCAAGGCAGCAGCGATCTCTTTGAGGACATTAGCCTTCTCCCTCAGCTGCTGGGCAAGCTCTTCCTGAATAGCAACAAGGATCCCAGGGCTTTGGTGGAGCAAGGGTTCCTGAGTGCCATCTGAACCTGGCTTCCGTACTTCTTCTAATGGGTTCAGGTCCCAGGATATCTGGCAACTGTCCTCAATGCGTGCTGGATACTCAAGGGCTTCTGAAATCTGCTGCATCATTCTCTCAAAGCCAGGGGTTTGGTAAGCACCCAGGATTTCCCTCAGCATACACTTGTGCTGCTGTAGGGCTGTCTGGGTCCCCTGCAGAGTCTCCTGGACTCTCTGAAGCCTGCGGTGGAATGACTCCCTTATGAACTGTGTGGCAAAGCTGAGCTCTGCTCGGACCCATGTGGCTTCAGCCAGGCCTCGGGGCACATGCTGTTGTTCACCTCCTGATGTGTCAGTTGCCTCTTCTCCCAGTGTCCCCAAGTGCTTACTAAGGGACTGGACCTGGCTCCAGAACTCACCATCCACTAACACTTTCTTGGCCCAGGCTTCCACTGGAGCCCCAGAGGAGACAATGGCACTTTCTCCTTCCAGTGGCCACTCTCCTGACTGAGCAAGCTCATGAAGAACACAAGATACATCAGAGGTTGTGTTCTTTAAAGAATCTGCTATTTGGTTAATGAGTGAAGCCTCCAGGGCTATCTGATCAGAGAGCAGCTTCATGTGCTCTTGCTCACTCAGCACTGACTGGCCGGGTTGCTGTGTGAGGGCTGCCATCTTACCCTCCACAGAATGCCCTTTCTCCTGCCCAGCCTCAACTCCGCTTTCTGCAAGGGCTGCCCAGGGTCGCAAGGCTTCAATGGCACTCAGGAGTGCATTCTCTACATTGGCCAGGGAGGCTGCACGTGTGTCCTGTTCATCCTCCTGGTCGGCCTTTGGCAGAGACTTCAACTGTTCTCGGCAGTTTTCTAAGCATGACAGGGCATGGCTGTTCTTTGCTTGGAAGTCTCCCAACTCCCCAACGTGGTTCTCAATGCTTGTGGCCCTCTCCTGCCTCTCCTGCTCCAGCTGGGAGGCCAGTGCACCCACCTGCAGCAAGCTGGTACGGAGCTGCTCACGGAGCTGTGCCTCAGTGCCAGCCCACTGGTGGTGCAATGCAAGCAGCGCCTCGTGGCTCTGGCCCTGCTGGCTCTCTAGTCTCACAGTCACATCCTTGAGTTTCTCCTCTGTGACGTAGAGCTTGGTCTCCAGGGAGTGGATTATGGAGAGGTATGTCTCGGAGTCTCCTGTTGTGGGCAGTGTACTGGGGGTGGCCTCTGAGGACATGCTCTCCTCCGAGGGGGACCGGTCCTGGCTGGTGTCTGATGATGTGCTGCTGGTCCAGGTCTTCTCAGATCCCTCAGGGTGGATGTATTTTTGGCACTGGATGGTGGAGAACCGTATTCTTTGCCTTTTAACACCAGATGTTCCCTGGTCAGGCTTGGCTGTGCTCTGTGGATGTCCTTCTCTATCAGGCACTTCCACAGACTTGGAGGACACGGCATGCTCTTCTCTGTCAGGGCTGCCATTGCCACTCTCCTCTCCCAGACCAGTGCTAGGTTCCTCATTCTCCAGCTTAATGTGGGGAAAGCCTAGAGGTGCTCCAGCAGCTGGGAGTTGTTGATCCAAGAGCAGAACACCATCCTCCTCCGTGTCCTCGGGAGTGCTCCGAGGCTCTTCTACATCCTTTGGAGAGTCACTTGTAAATTTCCGTAAAATCTCTTCCTTTGCTTGCAGCTTAATTTCTGTTTCCTCTAAGCTGCTCCCCAAGGCAACCATTTTAACCAAAGCCTCATTGAGATCCTGGTCTTTCTTTTCCAGAGCTCTCTCGTGCACTTCCTTAATGTGCTTCAGCTCCTCTTCCTTCTCTCTCAGCAGAGTGCGCATGCTCTGCAGCTGGCCAGAGACTCTGCGGTGTGAGTGCTCCAGGCTCTGGTAGTCGGCCTCTCTTCCTCTCAGCTTCTCCCGGAGCTCGGCCACGTCCCCATCAGACATGGCCACACGCTCCATAAGCTCTTGGAACCTCTGCCTGATGAGGTCTCGCTCATCACGGAGGCCTTGCACATGCTGGGCAAGCTGGCGGATGCTGGCTTCCCGGGCTTCCAGCTGTTCCTCTAACTGGTGTACTTGCTCACTGCCCTCACATGTGGCACTCAGCTTCTCTTTCTGGAGGGCCTCCACCTGCTGTGCATGGCCCTGCAGCTGGTCCTCATAGGCACTGGCCTTGTCTTCAACTTCTTTCAGGTTCTGTAGCAGGGCCTGCTTTTCCTCCTCACAGCTCTCTAGCAGCAGTGTGTAGTTCCTCTGCAGCTTTTCCTCCATCAGCCGCTGGGCCTGCTCACTGGCACCCAGCTGCTGGCTGAGGTCAGCGATGCGCTCCTGTAGCCTCTGCACCTCCTTCTGCCGATCCCGCTGCAGCGCCTGCTGTGTCTCCAGGTTCCGCAACTCCTGAGTCTTCTCTAGCAGCAGGGCCTCAGCACTCTTGAGTTTCTGTTCACTGGCCTTCAGCTGGCCGCTCAGGGCAGCCTCACTGTGTTGCCGCTCTTCCAGCTGCTCGCGGACTCTACCTTGCTCCATCTTCAGCTCACCTTTGAGTTTGGCTAGTGCCTGCTCCTTGATGGCTAGCTCAGCAGCAGCATTGCTGAGCCTCGCTTGCAGGCTCCGGATCTCGGCCTCATGGTGCCGGATCGCATCCTTGGCCTCCCCATAGCTACGTTTCAGGGTCTGAATCTGCTGCGTGATCAACTCCTGCCGCTGGCACTGGGCTTCCAGCTCACTTTGGAGGTCTTGGTTGACTCTATGGAGCCTCTGCCAGGCACCGGACGGGGAGGTGGCCACTTCAGTCTTAAAAAAATCGATTAAATACTAGTTAGTAACACTCGGGCCTCCCCGTTCTGAGTGTCACACCTCTGGCCAGGATCAACCACAGAAAAGCTTCTTGGTGGGTTTGTCTTTTATCCTTTGCACATTTTTTTCCCATTAAAAAAAAATCCAACACATTAGCTGCTTCCAGGTGTACAGAAAACATGGACAATAACATCAAAAAACAGCTCTAACCAGTTTCTAGGAGAAATAAACCAAACAAAACTGAGTAATGGAACACACTGAGAAGCAAAACGGAGACGGAAGGGCTATAGAAGACGACGGGGAGTGGGACGAGGCAGCACAGCATCTGCATCTGTTTATTTTGCAAAACAACAAGTATGGAGGTCTAGACCACAAATCTAAGTAAGCGCAAGGGGCAGGTAAGTGATGTCACTTCCTTCCAGCAGAGGGTGGGAAGGAAGGCAAGGAGCTGCTTAGAAAATGTCAGGGAGTGACATTCCGGAACGGTTTCCTTTGGAAAGCGTAGCAAGGCCTCCATGGTAATGGGAAGAACTAATTTCTACCTGCAAGAAGACAGAATGAGGGGGAACGAAAACTAAGGGGTAATATATGTTAAGTATCAAAATAAACCTTTGTGGAGTTCAAAATAAGAGAGTGAAGCATGCTAAAAACAAAACACAAATAAAACTCCCAAACATGTGGAAGAGACAGAATGTAACATAGGAGAAAAACAACATGAAGAAGACTGAGTAGAGCCCCACCTACAATCTAGCCTGCCTAGGTTCCCCTTGGTCTGCTGATGGGGAAACCACAGATGTGACACTCAGTTAAGTTCTAGTTTGATGCCAAAGCATGCAGGCCCCTCCCAGCAGTTAGCACAGCACCTCCCACCCCACCCCTCAACAGTCATACTTGTCAGCTCTCAGCCCCAAAGTCCCTGCCCTTTCTAACTTGACTACAAACATTTCCAAAGTTTGGGAAGGAGGGGCAGTCACTGGTTATTTGAGTGTGAAAGAGCAGTGTGGCTCAGTGGTGATCAACAGGGCCTTCAGTGTAGGCACATGAAGGGGATTCATGTTAAGACACATAGGCAAGTTCCCAGGTTAGCAATGTGCAAAGCCATCCACAGTGTCTTTACCATCTGATCTGCATCCAGTTCTGTAGGATGGGGCCCCGAGAACAAAACTCTGTCACAAACAGGGAGGCATATATGAATGACCAAAGGCCCTCACTGAAGGACAAGGAGGAGGGGCCATCTGTCACGGCCAGTTCTTGAGCTAAGAGTCTAAACTGGGCAAGGCAACAACGTTGCTGCAAGGGAAGAAGTACAGATACATGAGAAGAAGAAGAGAGAGGCCAAGTGCTTGTGCAGCAGAGGAGACAGTGGGGGGTGGGAGGGGGGGGAGGCAGGAAGATAGGCTCCAATCAGAGGGCATCCGAGCCTCCCTGATCTTTTTCCTGCCAGGGATGACCAAGCTTAAGTAAGTCACTCAACAGTGTTGACAACTCACCACAGACACTCTGGGTCTTTGATAGTCTAAGGGCCTTGGGTATCACTATAGCATACTATAGCATGCACAGGCAGGAAGCTGCTGCTGAGGGAGGAGCCCTTGCTTCTGGGATCAATGGCAGGATCAAGACTTGACCCTAGGCCCTGACTTCAATTCTCCATTTTTGGCCTTTGCAAGAGTTTGATTTTAGTTCTGCTACCCCTATGCTACTGCTCCCCAGCACTTGTCCACCCTCTGCCAGCATGACAGCACCATAGGTCAGGAGTGTGAGTTTCTAACTAGCACAGGGTCTAGGGTATGGTGGGACAGTTATTCCTGCCTTGTAACACATCTACATCAGGGCTGCTAGACCCTGAGGTTGTGAGAGCAGCCAGGACTCTATGGCAGACAACTTCTGTAACAGAGGAACATTGGGTATATGCTACTGGCTGGGGCTGCCACCGTTTTGCAGAAATTTTAGTCTGGTAAGAAAGTAACATGGGTCCCTAGTACAGTTTGACAGCCTAGATCTCCATAGTGTGGTAGAGACAAAGGAGGGGATGGGGCCTGAACTTGTAGTTGGTCATAAGAAAGCCCTTAGTTTGCCAACCTATACAATGGGACCAATGCTGCTATTGTGGAAACAATTAGAAATGGCATGCAGATGTTTGGTATTTATTAAAAAAAAAATGCTGATAAGAGAGCCAAAAGGAGAGGTCACCCAGATGATTTCATTAGAGAAAAAAAATTTTAGGTGAAGGGTTTCAGGTACATTACTACAGATGTCACAGTAGGAGGGACATGAACACAGAGCACTCCTCACATTGAGAGCCCTGGTCCTTGGAGGAGAGGAGCTAAGGCCATTCCACCAGCTTTGCACATTCCTAACCTATAGGCCTGAGTAAGACCTTTCACACTGAAGCCCCTGGGTGCACTGCAGACCTGGCAGCCACTCTGCCCTACCTGCAACACATAGCCCTCCCGGGCTGTCTGCTCTCGACCCAGGGCCACCCTCAGCTGGTCTTGCAGGAGTCGGTTCTGCTCCAGAAGGTCCGAAGCCTCCTTCTGACTCTGCTCCAGCTGTTGGTAGAAAGATACATGATCTTAAACATGATGACAAGCAAACGAAAGTAGCCAGATAACTGGCTTTGCTCCATAGAAGCCTTCCAGTTACAGGCAGTAGCCTAGGATTCTGGGCCTAAACATCTATGGCATTTGGAACTGAAAATTCCAGCTCAAGCTGTATATGAGACTAGCATCTTTGCTACCTTCTAGGGTGTGGGAGACAGGCTGTGATTCTCTGCCTCAGAGTACCCTTTGGCACTCACATGGCTTCTTCTGTACATGTTCACAAATGTACCATGCAAATCTTAAGACTCATGTGGAAAGTGCATTTCTGAGGAGGCAGCGCCTCACTGAGAAGTGAGGGTTCTGAATCTTTGTGAGAAGGAAGATCATACTATGGGGTACTCCAGTGGTCCTTCACATGGTCACGTAGGTCATGGCTAGACTCCACAGGAGCCACTATAGTCAGTGGAGGGTCCCAAGCAGGCCACATTTCAGGTCCTGCTGTGGCTTCAAGTGAAACTCCCATGTAAGGTTCTGCTTGCAAAAAGCTTTCCTGCCCTCAAACAAGATGTGGAAACATGTGAATAAGCTCTTTACATTTTTGCTTTCAAATTCTTCATTCACCCATTCCAGCAAAAAGCTGGAAGTGGAGCTATGGTTCAAGTGGTTAAGTGTTAGCTTTGAGCAAAAAGAGCCAGGCAAGAGCATAAGGACCCGATTTCAAATGCCAGTACCACCACAAAAATCAAAGTAGAAAAGTCAAAGTGATAATGTTAGTGATAACTATCAGCCTCAAAGATTTAATAAAATGGAAAAATGATGAGAAATGTCAGTGCTAAGATAGCAGAAAATGTATAGGAAACTTAGAAGGCTACACAGGTTAAGTATCCCTTATCCAAAATGCTTCAGACTTGAGGTAGATATGTAGCTAAAGTGAGTGTCTGCCTAGTAAGAGCAAAGCCCTCAGTTCAAGCCCCATTGCTGTCAAAGTAATAACAACAATAACAATAATAATTTTAAAAAAGGACAAGCTGGGAACTCTGGTTCTTACCTGTAATCCTACCTATTAAGGAGGCTGAGATCTGACAATCATGGTTAGAAGCCAGCCTGGGCAGAAAAGTCATAGCAACTCCATTTCTAATTAACCAGAAAAATCCCAGACTACAATGTGGCTCAAATTGAGTTCTAACTGTGAGTGAAAAAGCTGAGCAAAAGCATAGGCCAGGTGTCCATGGCTGGTGCCTATGATCCTACCTACTCAAGAGGCTAAGATCATGGTTTGAAGCCGGCATGGGCAAGAAAGTCTTTGAAATTCTTCTTCTTCTTCTTTTTTGCTAGTTCTAGGGATTGGACTCAGGGCTTGGGCACTGTCCCAGAGCTGCTTTTGCTCAAGGCTAGCACTCTACCACTTGAGCCACAGCACAATTTCTGGCTTTTTCTGTTTATGTGGTATTGAGGAACTGAACCTGCGCTTCATGCAAGCTAGGTAAGCATTCTACCACTAAGCCACACTCCCAGGCCAAGTCCTTGAAATTCTTATCTCCAACTAACCACAAAAAACAGGAAGTAGAGCTGTGGCTCAAGTGGTGGAGCACTAGACTTGAACACAAAAGCTCAGGGATAAGGGCTGGGAAGGTGGCTCAGTGGTAGAGCCCTTGCCTTTCATGCATGAGGCCCTGGGTTCGATTCCTCAGCACCAAATAAGCAAAAAGAAAAAAGCTGGAACTGGCACTGTGGCTCAAGTGGTAGAGCGCTAGCCTTGAGTTGAAGAGCTGAGGGATAGCACCCAGGCCCAGAGTTCAGGCCCCACGACCGGACCCAAAAAGAAAAAAAAAAAAAGCTCAGGGATAATACCCAGGGTCCTGAGTTTAAGCCATAGGACTGGCATTTAAAATATAAGGCCCTGAATTCAAGCCTCAGTACTAGCATGAACACACACACACACGATATAATACCTGAGACCTTTAGTACTTCAGACATTTTTCTTATACAATCTGGAATAATCATATATAGAAAGAGCAACTGTACTAGTATCCAAGTTTAAACATGAAATTCACTTGTTTTATTTCTATCTTACATATGCAGTCTGAAGGTAACTTTATATAGAAATTTTCGTTTTGGCAGTGTTGGGGATCAAATCCTATATATGCTAGGCAGGTACACTTAACAGTAAAAGCTCCCATATTGTTTTTTAAATAATTTTCTGTGTAGGGGCTGGGAAGGTAGCTCAGTGGTAGAGCGCTTGCCTTGCATGCCTGAGGCCCTGGGTTCACTTTCTCAGCACCACATAAGCAAAAAGAAAAAAGCCGGAAGTGGCACTGTGGCTCAAGTGGTAGAGTGCTAGCCTTGAGCTGAAGAGCTGAGGGACAGCGCCCAGGCCCAGAGTTCAGGCCCCACGACCGCCCCCCCCCCCCAAAAAAAAAAAAAAAAATTCTGTGTAAAGCAGTTTCAAGGGGTGTTTGTGGTATCATGTTGATGCTCACAAGATTTTGGATTGAACTAAGGATGCTCACCCTGTAACCTCCTTGGCCACAGAATTGACCAAACCCAAGCACATTTGTGATCCCAGAATTCCCTTTTTGGAGAAAACACCATATGCCAGGAATTCAGGGGATGGATCCTGCAGCTCTGCACATGTCCTGGAAGGGCCTGCATCTATCTAACTCTTGCCCTGCCCTGGCTCACCACAGCCTGTTTTCATATCCTCAGTATCTGGGGGCCCAGCCTTTGTCTCCCATGCCTGCACCTTGTCCCTTTCAAGTCTGATTGACTGTCGCTTGGCCATTGTCAAAGCAAGTGGCTTGTATCTGCTTCTAACTTTGGCCTGCTCCCCTCACTCATGCAGATCAAAACCTAACTCCACTCATACCCCTCCACTGAAAATCTTTAGCTTGCACCATCTGACAGGTGGAAAGGGCCCACTATGGGCCTTGTTCACAGTGCAAACTACCATACTGGGAACTCCTCCACTCTTCTGGAAAGGTGCACTAGCCCTCTTCACCAGGAGTCTCTCAGTTTCCACCTCAAGTGTAAGAACTTGCCCTTGTTCCTGTTTCCTCTTGCAGGTCTATGAGGGAAAGACTTTGTGGCTGGACTCACAAGCCACAGCTGGGCAGAGCTGGAACTCAGCATAGACTGCTGCAGGGAAGGAACTGCCCTGCATTACCTCCTTTTCCAGCAGAGAAGTAAGCTCATGTGTGGAGAGTCGGTCACTTCCATCCTCTGAGGACAGGTGCAAGGGGGCAATGGGCACCTGCTTTTCTTCCCGTAGAGGGGTAGTCTCCACTTGATGCCATCGCTGCTCTATCTCCACATGAACATTTTGTGTCTTGAGATCAGTTCCTGGAAGCCCTGGGCTCCGGTCAACGTCCATGCGTAGAGCTATGTCCTCAGCGCTGGGTCCATCTACGGTGTCCAGCACCCCAAAGCGCTTGCGGCGCTCTTCCCGTCGCCTAGCACGTTCCCGCTCCAACTCTCCAGATTCTGCTTCAGGATGACCAGGGTCACGGGAATCAGAGGGCCTTGTGGCACTGGCCCTCTCTTGTGCCAAAGCCTGCTGGATGGGGCGGAACTCAGCCCAGTCAAAGGTCTTAGAGCGGCCCTCCCGCCTTCGCTCTCGAGCACGGCTTCTCTTCTGTTCGGGATCGAGCTGCCCAGGGTCTACCTCTTGCTTCTCATGTGGCCTGGAAAAGGTCTCAAAAGATGAGCTGCTTTTGTTCTTTTCCTCTGGTAATGAGCTAAGGGCAGGGGAGGCAAACATAGTAATTGTTAGGGGACCTGAGACACCCTGGCCCATCACAGGGCCAGCTAAAACAAGCCATAGCTGACCCAGATAGTTCCATGGCCTTCTTCTGTTCTCAAAGTGGTTTCCAAGAACAAAGAGAAGGAATGTGCTAGCAACTGGTTCTGATGGAGTGAGGAGGAAGAACTTCATATGTTCCCTAGGTTTCTAGTGCATATCCCTTTAGAAGATCCTGTGTGGGGAGTTTTGGGGTCCTGTCACCAAGATGATAGGAACAAGGAAGACAGGGCTTCCACGGGATCCACAGGCAGGAAGGACCCATGCAAATGGTATGGCAGATTCTGAGCAACCCATGCTATACAGTGGTGAAAGAACTGGTCATCTCCTTAAAGGGCAAATGATCAGCTAATTTAAAAACCCACTCTGTCCATTCACATAACATGTGGGTCAGTGTGAATGCTGAGATACGCTGTGGATAAAAAGGACAGGTAAAAGTTTGTTTAGCCATAGCCCACACCACAGGGAAGAAGGCAGTGGCTCCCTCCTGACAAGGGAGATGGCCATGCCAGGCTGCATAAGTTGTGCAGGAGATGCTCAGCCTATCCAGCATTAGTAGAAGGGCAGAAGATGATCAGCTAGAATTCCTTCCTTTTCTAATCTGGTCTAAAGAAAGATTCCTGAGAACACCACTTCTCTACTGAGAACACCAGTTCTCTACCAGAGGAAGAGCAGAGAGAGCAATGGCAACACAGCAAGAGGCTGGAAGTGGGTTTGCTGGTAGCAGAGTTCAGTGACCACTGGCTAGCCCACCCAAGGCTAAAATAACAGTCCCTAATCCTGTCCAAGCCTCAGCAGAGTTCAAAGTGACCTTGGGCAGTGAGGGCTCAAGACAAGAAGGCTAAGGGGCACCTGTGTATACATCATGGCCAAAGAAAAAGGGGTTTATATTGCCTTCAGGGATCACTAAAGTGCTTCAGAGCAGTAGGGTGGATGAGTCCAGTCTAACCAATGAATAAAAATGACCTATTGCTGGGCATCATAGGTTCACAACTCTAATCCTAGCTAGTCATAAGGCTGAGATGTGAGGATCAGATCTCAGTTTGAAGCCAGAATGAGCAGACAAATTTGAGACTCCAAATAGCCAGCAAAAAAGTAGTAGTAGCCATGAGCAAAAAAGGCAAGTAAGAGAATGAGGTCCTGAGTTCAAATACTAGTGATACTTGTGTGTGTGCACATGCACACTCATGCATGCAAGGATGCACTTACACACACACAGCTGGGAGTCATGGTGCAAATTATAATCCTAGCACTTGAGAGGAAAAAGCAGGATCAGAGTTCAAAGCCAGCCTACGTTACATAGTAATTTCGTCTCAAACACAACAAAATAAAATAAAGAGCCTTCTCAGAAAGGAAGGCTCTTTCAGCATCATGAACTGAGACAGCAGGCTTAAGCTCAGATCTGTGAGGAGCATTGGGAAAGCATACAGGCGCAAGCAGAGTACAGCAACCCTCAGCTAGGATTCCAACAGGTGTGTTTTCAGAGAAGGCTCCTCTATCCCAGAAAGCTGGTAGCACTCTGCCACAGAATACAGGACAGTGATGAGAAGCACATGCCAACAGCTCTAACACTGTCATTCATACTTATAGTATCTTCTCAGTTTGCTGGGTACCAGTGGTTCACACCTGTAATCCTAGCTACTCAGGAGGCTAGATCTGAGGATTGCAGTTCAAAGCCAGCCCGGTCAGTAAAGTCCGTGAGACACTTATCTCCAATAAACCACCAGAAAAACTGGAAGTGACACTGTGGCTCAAGTGGTAGAGTGCTTGCCTTGAGGTGAAGAGCTGAGGGACAGCGCCCAGGCCCAGAGTTCAAGCTCCACAACCAACAACAACAACAAAAAAGTTTCTTCTCAGTGTCTCGTGGTGAAGCAGTAAATAATTCAAGATTTTCTGCAACTCACAAGAGTCAACAGAACACAGGATAAAAAAAACCTTTTGGCTTCAAGATAACACTAGATTATGAAGTAGATAATAGCTTGCCCACTTTGGTATGAAAGGAAGCACACACTTAACCTCTGGGTTCATCCTTTGGGTCTCCAATCCTTCTTGGAACTCAAGGGCTATACATCATACGCTGCTCTCTGAAGCCACATGCAAATGTACAGCATGCATGAGAATGGGGTATTGGTTTTGTTTTGTTTTTCTTTTTTTGGGGAGGGGTGGGGATAATAGTGTGATTTAAGCCACACTTATGTAGCCTTATGCTTGCCTGCCTGCCTTTCTTTTCCTTCCTTCCTTCCTTCCTTCTCCCCCTCCCTCCCTCCTTCCTTCCTTCCTTCCTTTCTTTTTTGACTAGGATCTTGCTTTCTGGCTTGAGATCCTATCTATACCGCCCATATAACTGGGATGACAGGATTGTGTGCCACTGTGCTCAGTTTTAGTTTTGTTTTTTTTTTTAATTAGCTGAGATGGGATTTTGTAAACTTTTTTGCCTGAGCTAGCCTCAACTACAATCTTCTGTATCTCTGCCTCCTGAGTAGCTAGGATTACAGGTTAGTTATTATGCTTGGCATGTGTTTTTGATACCAACTTCTCTCAGACATAACCCTCACCTTGTACATGCAGCCTAGGCATGGCAAAGATGTGGTAGCTTCATCTACTGCTGGCTGCCTGAGCAAGGCAGGCCAAGTGCCTTTATCATTTTGCTCTAGGTACTCTTGCAGGTGCTGGAAGGGTACCATGTACCAGGCTTTGCTCCCAACTGGGCTAGCTATGGAGGTAAGGAGCTGCCACTCACCAACCAGCTCTAACAGTTCCTGAGAGACAACTGAGGGCAACTCTTCAGGTCTCAAACTACTGGTCTGTGACATGGGAACAGCTAGATACTGTTTGCTAACAAATGAAGTAATGGATACATGAGATACACAGGAAAGGAGGCTGACAGCAGGCATGGCTATGGCTGCCACAGGCTAGCACCTTCGTGCTAGAAACACTTGTCAGCAAAGTACACTAACCAGGCTGAGAAAGAAATAGGGACTCCAGATGCATGAGGCTCTGAGGACTAGGAGGGTACAGCTGAGCTCAACACCATAGCCAGCCCCACACAACACAGCCATCTCTACTTCTTCATGAAAACCGGCAGGTGCTTCACTTTCAGAACAGGAGGATGACATATGTCCCAAGGGGTATGAACAGGAGGTTAAGACAGGACAGAACATACTTTTCCAACTTGGGGTTCAGCATTGAGTCTCAGAGAAGCTTTTCCTGGTTACACAGTAATCAGATGGCCAAGTGTTGGTAGCTCATGCCTATAATCCTAGCTTTTCAAGCAGGTGAGTTCCAGGGATCATGATTCAAAGCCAGCTAAAGTAGTAAATTCCATGAGTCTCTTACTGCTAATTAACCAGCAAAAAGTTGGAAAAGCTGTGGTTCAAGAGGTAGAGTACCATGGGCTGGGAAGTTGGCTCAGTGGTAGAGTGCTTGCCTTGTATGCCTGAGGCCCTGGGTTCAATTCCTCAGCACCACATAAGCAAAAAGAAAAAACCCAGAAGTGGCGCTGTGACTCAAGTGGTAGAGCGCTAGACTTGAGCTGAAGGACAGTGCCTAGGCCCAGAGTTCAGGCCCCACGACCGGACCCAAAAAAAAAAAAAAAAAAAAAGAGGTAGAGTACCAATCGAGAGAAAAAGCTAAGGGACAGTGCCCAAGCCCTGAAGTCAAATCCCAGTACCAACATATGTGTGCATGCATGTACACAAGCACGCACGCACACACACAGATGGAGGAATGAAGAAAAAATGAAGAGCAAAGCTACAGTGGCCTGTCATCACCATCCTTTTGGAACTGCCATGATCCAGCCAGAGCACAGCTACCAGAGAGGGTCTATAGTGAAATCTGAAGTCAGGCCTGGGTGGCTGAATACTGCAGACAGGATGATTTTGGTTTGTTTTAGTGGTTACAGGTTTATTTTTTGTTTTGTTTTTGTGGGTTGTGGGCTTGAACTCTGGGCGCTGTCCCTCAGCTCTTCAGCTCAAGGTGAGCCACAGCGCCACTTCCAGTTTTCTGGTGGTTAATTGGAGGTAAGAGTTTCATGGACTTTTGTGCCTGGGCTGGCTTTGAACCATGATCCTCAGATCTCAGCCTCCTGAGTAGCTAGGATTACAGGCGTGAGCCACCGGTGCCCAGCTGGTTACAGGGTTTGAACTGAGGGCCTCACACTTGCTCGGCTTGCTGGCTTGACTGGTGCTCTACCATTTGAACCACCCTTTGTCCTCTCACAGGATGGAAATCTGACAAGCTCAGTGCTAACAACAGGCATAAACATAATCTGTTTGACTGACCAGGCCAGCTTCTAAGAGGAGACCCCAACCCAAGGGAGAAAAACCAGAAAGCCACAAGGAGACTGAGCTGTCAGTGCGACTGAGTGTAGTCAAGCTCCAATGTCAGGGGAAGGGCAGGTGCAAAACCACAGATCCCTCATTGGGATGGCCAGGTACCTAAAGAAGGCACAAGGGACTCCCTTGGGCACCCCTGACAGTCTTACCTGGTCACATCTGGGGCTGTGGTTGGGTGTACATGCTTCATGATGGTCTGGATCCAGTTCCGTCGGATCCCTGATGTCATGGCTGACAAGGTGAACTCACCCTCCTTTGTCTACATGAAAGACACGGGTGTCATTAGTGGCCCTTGAGGGTGATGGGGGTGATATCTGCCTCCTACTTCCAAAGGGCAGACGAAATCCACAGGGAGAGAAGACCTACCTGTGCCTTGCTCAGCTATGCTTTCACAGAATCGTAAATCATAGGGCACAGGCAGATGGACAAGGACAGCAAGTCTCATCTTAAAGGAACTCTCAGGGACTGGGAAGGTGGTTCAGTGGTAGAGTGCTTGCCTTGCATGCATGAGGCCCTGGGTTCGATTCCTCAGCACCACATAAGCAGAAAAAGCTGGAAGTGGCACTGTGGCTCAAGTGGTAGAGCGCTAGCCTTGAGCTGAAGAGCTGAGGGACAGCACCCAGGTCCAGAGTTCAGGCCCCATGACCAGAAAAAAATAAATTAAAAAATAAATAAATAAAAGGAACTCTCAGCCTGGAGTGAAAAATGGAAATAGTATGTGGGGACAGTGGTGAAGGCAGCATAAAGGGGGAGTGCACTGAGAGTCCAGGTCAGGGCCCTGCACCCCCAATACAGGTACACAGGACAGCAAAGGGGAGAAGTGGACAAACATCAGGGGCTAATGGTAGTCTCCACCTGCTCAGGGCAAAAGACTTAGGTACAGCTGCTGTCACTGACCAGATCACAAGAATTAAGAAGGTGGCAGAATACAGGTCACAGAGGGAGGGACACACTGAGTGTCCCTGGACGGATAGGGGAAAGGAGGGGACCACCTTAGGTGGCGGGGGAAAGCTCCTGTTAACAGTGGGGGATACTACAGCAGAATGGCACAAAGAAGCATGTGGCCTCAGAGACACAATCTGCATCCCCAGGTAGCTCTGCCCAGGCCTGCTCAGGAAGGAATGAGGCCCACATAAGTTGTCTTACCTGCTTCTGCATTCAGAGGCTTATACTACAGCACTATCCTAGTATCCTATCTCAGGCTGCTCACAAACTCAGACATCATTTTATGATGAAATGACTAGGATAGCTTTGGGACCAGCAATAGTGTGACCAGCTATTACAACCGTATTCTGGGAGGTACTGCCCTAGACTGCCTCTTTCTCCTCCTCTTCCTCCTCCTCCTTCTCCTCTACCGTGGGCCAGCCACAGGTCCCACTCCTTTGTGACCTTTAGCCCTTAGAGTGCACTGTGGTGTAATTCTTACCCCCTTCTCTGGGCCATCCCTCTCTACTCAAGGTGTGGGTGCTTTCCAAGTCTAGACATTTGTAGCTGAGTTCTTTTCCAGCTCCAAAGATAAACATATGTATCCCATCATGTATTCTCCTAGACCCCTACTCTTGGCAAGATTCCAGGGGGTCCACCTTCTCCACTAAGCTAGATCACTGGCCAGGTCTATGTGGGCCTCAGCAGACATAGGTTACCCATGGTGCAGAGACCTCTCTTATCTATCTTTCTCTGCAGTGACACTCAGTCTCTCTACCACCACCATGCCCACTTACCAGGCCTCCTTTCTAGTTGCTCTATAAGACCTGGCAGCTACATCTTATGAACACACAACCTGCCTTTTGTGGCTGACACCCTTCCAGTGCTTTCCACAGCTTCAGGGCAGGATCAGCTAGCATTTGTTCATGGTACTGCCCCCACTTGCTTTCTGCACTCAGCTCCCTCCTCTGTGCCATCTCAGTACCCTCAGGACCAAACCCTTCTCTAGGAAGCGGCCCCATATTGAAATCAGTATCTTTAAACTTAGGACTCTCAAGCCCAGTAGCCCATCGCAGGGGCAAATTGGGGAAGGATCTACTGAGGGCAAAAAGGCCACCTCCACTGTTAAACCTCGCTATCAGTGGGAGACAATAGATGAGTTCTCAGACTGTATAGGAGCACTGACCAGAGACACCTACTGATTAAAATTGGCATAGAGGCAAGAATCCAAAGAACCAAGACTCACATTTTGGAGGGGTACTAAGGGCTAGCCCTGAAACCAGACCCTTGGTATATAAGCCTTGACCATTATACAGCTCCCTCACAGACACCTGCATCCATGAAGGGAATTAGTGAGGCTAACAAGAGCCTTTCCAATACAAAACACTCTGATCTTCAGAGTTACATATTGATCTCCTCTAAGTGTAGTACATCTGAGTCTGCCTCAAAGTGCTTCATCATCTCTGAATACAGTAACATAGTTGAGTTTCTAAGCCCAAAAAGTTGAAGAACTTTTTGGTGATCTCACCAGAGTTATCACAGCCTCAAGTAAGAAACCAAGTCCCATAGCCTGGCCTATAGGAGCAGCTCTCTATCTGCCACAACTCTGAAGGCTCTTGTGAGGAAAGAAAGTCTGCCCTGTGCAGGAAAATGGCCAGGGCCCTGCAAGCCTGGAGTTCTGTGAGTAACCACAGCGCTACTTGGGGCCCAAATAAGACCTTACTTGTAGTGTCATTGACAAGGCAACTTAGGGTAGAGCTACTATGTCAGAAAGGTCCAAACACAAATCATGAATGAAATCAGTTGGCCCCTGGGGAAGGCCTAGAGAGGAAATGGTCCACAAAAGCAAGAACTTGGTAGACCATAGCAGTTAGGAAGCCTCCATGAAAACAGCACCAAGGCCCAGATGAGCTTCCTTGAAATGCTCTGCATATGCCTCACATCAAGTTCCAAGGTAATATGTCTCTAAAAACAAAGAGACTATGGGACACACACACAATGAGTTCCTTCTTTGGGATGGTTCTGACTGAACAAAACTGGCTACAGTAAAACTAATAATAAAAACAGTAATTTCTTGACTTCTGTGAGGCATTCTAGACAATTCTGGAGGGGGAAGGTTGTTTTGCAAACCCCTGCATTTACAATTATATCAGAATTTAGAGCAGATATGGCAGGTGGGAATTAAAAAAAAGCTTCTCTGGGATTTAAGTAATTAGCAAATGATATAATTTTTATTCCCTATACCCTATACCCTCCCAATCAATGGCTCTAAACTCCAGTATTAAAATTACAAGACTGGGTGTGCTAGTGCACCCCTGTAGTTCCAGCAACTTGGGAGGCAGAGACTATGACTGAAGTTGAGGTTGCCCCAGGCAAAATGATTGAGATCTGAAAAATAAAGCAAAAAGGGCTGGGGGCATGGTTCATTCAGTGGTAGAATCCCTCCTTAGCAAGTTCAAGGCCTTGAGCTCAAACCTCAGTACTGCCATTTTTTTTTTTTTTTTGTCGGTCGTGGGGCTTGAACTCTGGGCCTGGGCGCTGTCCCTCAGCTCTTCAGCTCAAGGCGAGCGCTCTACCACTTGAGCTACAGCGCCACTTCCGGTTTTCTGGTGGTTTATTGGAGATCGGAGTCTCACGGTCTCTCCTGCCCGGACTGGCTTTGAACCGCGATCCTCAGATCTCAGCCTCCTGAGTAGCTAGGATTACAGGCGTGAGCCACCAGCGCCCGGCTTGCCATTTTTTTTTAATTTAAAAAGTAGAGAAAGAAGAAAGAGCCTTCAGTAACAAAAGCCTTTAAGCAGCTTTGAGAAGACAGATGTGATGTTTAACTCTTTGTCCACACCATTCATTGAGGGGTAGGATGAATGGACTCAGGATCCACAAAACAGAAAACTGATGCTAATACAAGAGTGACTGATGAACATACTGGTCAAGTCAGGGCCTGCCTAGAGGTGTCTCTGGCAAGGATTTCAGGTTCTTAGAGACTTGACTATGCTGGTCAAGTTCTTACCCACCCCATTCCCCCACCTTGCCCCTGGACTCACATGTATCTGGAAGCCATAGTTTCTCTGCACTGGATACTCTGTGACATCATAACATGTGGACAAGTCAACTTCCCCATCCAAGTCAGCTGCCTGCAAAAAGAAGCAAGATACTTTACAAGATTCAGGAAAAGAGCAGGAGAGGTGTATGTGTATCAGGTGGTAAAATGATTATCTAGCAAGAGCAGTACCCTACATTCAAACCCAGAACTGTGGAGGAGGGCACTAAATGATTCAGGAAGAGCCAATGCCTACATGAGCACATTTTCATGAGCAATTTCCTATATACACTGTTTATGGGACTAGACTTTGACTACCTGCAGGCCCCTTCTCTAGAACACCCACCCTACTGTTTTCCCCTGCATCCAGCCAAAGATATTCCATGCTAGTGGTCCCTAAATGTGTTGGCAGAGCTCCTTCATACACTTAAAAAACTAAGGGCCCCTAAGATTTTTATATATGTGAATTTTATCTATGAATGATCTTTCCCAATTAAAGTGACAAAAATCTAAGCATGCTTGTTCATTCACTTAAGAATAAAAACAGCTAAGTGCAGCAAGGTGCCAGTGGTTCACACCTGTAATCCTAGCTACTCAGGATGCTGAGGATCACAGTTCAAAGCCAATCTGGGCAAGAAAGTCTATGATTATCTCCAACAAACTACTCAGAAAAAGTTGGAAGTAGCACTGTGACTCAAGTGGTAAGAGAGCTAGCTTTGGGCAAAATGAATATCAGGGACAGTGCCCAGGCTCTGAGTTCAAGTCCCAGGACTGGCAAAAAACAACAACAAAAAGAAGAAGAAAAAAAAACCCCCAACAGCCTAGTGTTAGTGGGCTCACACCTTATGTATGATACCTACTCAGAAGCTAAGACCTGGAGGGCTGAGATATGAAGCCAGCCAAACAAAAGTCTGAGTTTACATCTCTTATTAACCAGCAGAATATCAGACTGGAGATGTGGCTCAGTTGACAGAGTGCTAGCTGTGAGCAAAAAAGCCAGGTGAGGGTTGTGAGAGCCCAGTTCCAGTACTTGGTATATGCATGCATATGTGTGCACAAACAAAGAATAAAAATAAACCCATTTTTTTTTTTTGGGTCCAGTCGTGGGGTTTGAACTCTGGGCCTAGGCACTATCCCTCAGCTCTTCAGCTCAAGGCTAGCGCTCTACCACCTGAGCCACAGTGCCACTACTGGCTTTTTTTCTTTTTGCTTATGTGGTGCTAAGGAATCGAACCCAGGGCCTCAGGCATGCAAGGCAAGCGCTCTACCACTGAGCCACCTTCCCAGCCCAACCCACTTAATTTTTAAAGTAAAAATAATTATTTCTCTCTGCAGTTTGTTCCATGAACTATAAGTAAACAAAGTGGTCTCAAATAGACACAGAGTTAGAAATGAAAGAATTTCAATGGCCTTTTCAGGTAACTGTGGCTGGTCTTCTTTGATAAGTGTTCATGTCTCTAGGTTAACTGAAATGAAGGAATTCTCTGTGCTGTTATAATTGAAATTCATGGCTTATTGTTTTGTTTTTTTTTTCCTCCAGTCAGTTGTGGGGCTTGAACTCTCGGCCTGGGTGCTGTCCCTCAGATCTTCAGCTCAAGGCTAGCGCTCTATCATGTGAGCCACAGTGCTACTTCCGGTTTTCTAATGGTTAGAGATCAGAGTCTCATGGACTTTCCTGCCTGGGCTGGCTTTGAACTGCAATCCTCAGATCTCAGTTTTCTGAGTAGCTAGATTACAAGCATAAACCAACAGCACCCAGCTATTCTGTTTTTTGAATGCCTCCTTTCACAGACATGGTTTTGTAACATTATATATTAGTCACTTAGAAAATAATAGATTAGCCGGGCGCCAAGGGCTCATGCTACTCAGGAGGCTGAGATCTGAGGATCACGGTTCAAAGCCAGCTTGGGCAGGAAATTCCATGAGACTCTTATCTCCAATAAACCACTAGAAAATTGGAAGTGGCACTGTGGCTCAAGCGGTAGAGCGCTCGCCTTGAGCTGAAGAGTGCAGGGACAGCGCCCAAGCCCAGAGTTCAAGCCCCATGTCCGACAAAAAAAAAAGAAGAAAAAAGAAAAGAAAATACTAGATTATGCATAAATTCCCAATGACCAGACAATTCATTAAACAGAATTGAAATATCATGTATGTTAAATCATCACCTATTTTATAAAGGGAAGCTGCCAAGTTCATAATGACAACTGTAAGTTTTCTGAAGTTCCTTCTCTTTTTCTTTGAGATAGGATTTTGCTCTGTTGCTCATGATTGTCTCTAACTTACAGGGTCAAGCAGTCTTCCTGCTTCAACCTCTCAAGTAGACAGCCACTGTACCCGGCCTAAAAATTCTTAAAAGCTTAAATTATGCCATTGGTAATGAAGACTGACAGTTGTTTTCACTGAAGGAAGAGCCTCTTAGATCATTTTCATGAAAATGTCTGCCAGATCCCCAAAATGAATGAGCAGTGTCTCAGTTTTTTCTTCAAGCAATGATGGGGTTGCACAGAGCAGAAGCTAGTTCAGCTGGCAACTCAACAACTTTTGTACAAGTTTGTAGGCTCTGGGTGCAGCTGTGGGACAATTCCTACAGACAAAGAACACTAGAGACAGATACTGAAAGGTTGAGAAACCAGTAACCTTTACTGACCAATAAAGGATCTTGTTCCTTTTACACATCATGACTGTTAGCAGTGCAAATACAGTAATTGCTGGTATAGTCTATGGCTATAGCTGAGCCATACCTATCTCTGGTTTTATGCCATCACTGTGGATGTCAATACAGCAAATAAGGTTTTTATCAAACACAATTTGACCATTAAAGCTATACAGAAAGAACTAGGTCCAAGACCACACTCAGAACCACTCAGTGTTACAGACACTTCATTATATGCACCTTTATTCCTGGTTCAGACACAACCAAGTCTGTTACTTACCTCCTATAACAACATCCTTCCTCTTCAGGCCATGCAGCCCCTAATAAAATGTGGGTCTTTGCTACCTCCTAGTACAAAGGTATGGGGAATGGCTAACTTGAGACAGATCGTTTTCTAATTGTGTGAGTACATCTTTAGTAGAGGTAGTTACCAGGAAAAAGACTTGCCAGACTGTCTCAGAGGGGTTTTTTTTTGGGGGGGGGGGGTAGGGGTGGGGAGGGTGGAGTAGTGAAGAAAAGAGCCCGCCCCAGTTGGTCTTCCATCATGGAGTTTAGGGCCCTAACCAATAAGATGTTGTACAAGACCTAGTTTAATGCTTCCAGTAACTTAATGTGCCACAAAATCTCTGTAGAAAAAAAAAACCAAATTGCTCATCCTGGGTGTTTAAATTTCAGTGTTCTTTAGAAAGTGAAGGGGGAAAAAAGCTACTATACCCAAGTGTTCAAACATGGTCTCAGAAGAGCATGTCTCAGGCATCTCTGCTTTGTATGAATACACTCTAGATTGAGACTGGGATACTTAAGAAGGCAACAGGGACAACCTTCCACAGACAGATGGGACTTTAGCTTTGGGTTCCTGAATACTATCTATACCCCCACAGACTGTCTCTGCAGAGAGGTGAAGCCAGGATACTCACCTCTTCAGCCACGGAGTCCCTGTAGTATCTCAGGCTCTGATCAGCCAGGACAAACCAGTGCTTCTTCCACTAAAAGGGAAGAAAAAGAAACTCAGCTACCATGCAGCACGCTTGCTGTTTCAGGGTGATCTGCAGTCGAGTCCTGGGGTGCTCCAAGAGTATAGGTAAAACAGAGGGCAGTCCAGACTGCACAGGGCAGACAGATACCAGGCAGTCATGCACTAACAGCCTTAGGAAGGCTTGCTAAGCTGCGGCTCTTCTGTGAAGAGGCAGTAGAGAGTGGGTGGGCCTTGACTGGGGCTCTGTGACCCATGGTGGTGGCATGGCTGGTGAGCAGTGCTCCTCTGTGAAGAGGCAGCAGAGAGTGAGTGGGAGGGCCTCAGCTGGGGCTCTGTGACTCATGGTGGCATATTTGGTGACCAGTGCTTTGCAGGCCTCCATTCAAATTCCAGATGTTGCAGACTACTGCTGGCCCATCACAGAGAAAAGTGGCCATGAAAAAGAGCAGAGAACGACAGCCACTTGGCGGGCTCACCAAAGAGGCACATCCCACTACACCAGCAGGAATGAACTAACCCGCTAAATTCTCAGTCTTCACTGTGAGTAGCAAGGAGGGGAACTTGAGTCTTCAGGCAAAGCCAAGGGAATTTGATACAGAAAAGGGAGGAGAGAAAGAGAGAGAGGATTTTTTTGTATGATACGTGGAAAGCAGGGCAGGAAGTTCCAAACTTCTAGGCCAAAGATCCAGAAGGCTCCTTTATGCCTTTTTGGGATGCTTAGTTTTCCAGCCTAGCTCAGGGTCAAGGTGAGGCTGACAGGCCTAGCCACAAATGGCTTTAACTACTTGAATTTAATGGCTAGAATATACCACATTTACTATCCACAGAGCCTAATGGTGGCACTGCAGCTGAGCTGTTCTCTCAGACTCAAGCTCTAGATTTGTGTATGGAAACACAAGCTAGCTCCATAGCCAGAGGCCTCCCCTGTTCCTGGGAAAACCCAAGCCCCTGGAGAACTTTTAAGAAAGGCCACACAGTTGAGGGCTAGTGTGTAGAATGTTGTGGGATGTCTCCAAGGTCTGAGGCTGAGAGGTGTTGCCACCACTTTGGCAAAAGGAACCTTACACTTGCACTGTGAGCAAGTGGAAGGCCTTGCCATAGTCTTGGAGACAAGCATGTGCAGCAGAAGGTAGGAAGACAGAACCAGGGCTCACAGACCCCACTAGAGATAAGCTCACATCTGTTACCCAGCATTCACAGCCCCAAGTTGCTCCCACTTACCTGCCCATCCTCATACTGCTTGGTTAGCCAGCCTTTCTTGAAATTCAGCAGGTCAGGCTGAGGAAGAGACAAAAGAATAGCTCATAGGAAAGTCTCATGGCATCCCAATTATAGATAAAGCATGTCTGATGGAGCTGACATGGCTGAGACATTTTTATCTAGATGAAGTGGCACCAGGAGTAGAAGTTTCTCTATTTGTCAGACAAGTTTGTGCACCTTCCCTTACTGTGTTCTGTGATGCTGCTTATGTCTTTAAGGAAGGAAATGCCAGGCAAAGGGAGAATGGCATGGTCTTATTTGCCCTAGGCAACGGCAGCACAGGCTGCCCAACTGCCCCAAACATCTCTGCTCTGAGGTAGATGTCTATACTGGGTTCACTGTATAGCCTGTCTGGGGGCAGAGCACAGGCTCAGATGTAGAGTCCTTGAGGACTGTACATAAAGGGGCACATCTGCAGCAAATGACTAAAGGCAATTCCAGAACCTCTTGAAGGTATAGGAAAATACAAGTGAGGCAGAGATCATGTCAATATGGAGGAACAGCAGCAAAAGCACTGTTCAGACCCTCAGGCTACGCCTCAAGAGGAAGTGAAGTCTCCATTCCCCATGAAAAGTAGGATGGCACATAGGAAGGTCTGGACCTGCCAACAGGACCTAAGTAGAACGTCATCTGTTTCCCACTCATCCTGCTCAGGCATACCTGGGACCACTGCACAGCCTGGGAGCTCATGGCATTAGGGCACCTGTATCCTACTCAGCTGAGATGTTCATCTACCACACAGTGTGCCTATGTGGTCAGGTTCCACAGACACCAACTAACCCTTCTGTAGCCCCAAGTATTCTCTGCTTTCCACAGCCATCTTGATCAGAAATGCCTTTGAATCCTTTTAGTATTCCAGAGACAAGGTGTGTTTTAGGAGAATAAGTGAGAAGTGAAAAGACACCAGGATAATGTTCTAGGAGCTCCTATTCTGTCACAGAGAGACCACAGTAGACTACTGTTTGGCCAAAGCTGACTACAATGATGAGAATTCCCTCTGTGAATCCTACTTTAAGCCCCACTTTAAATCAAACAGTACTTCTGCCAGATTGTTTGAAGTACCAACAGTGAGAGATTAGGATGCCTCAGCTCAGAGACCTTTAAAGAAGAAAAGTCCCATTTAGGTGCAAACAGCTGTGGTTGCTGCCTAAGACTTGTGATGAAGGGCTACTCTCTGCCTCTGTCCAACCTGATGAGCTACAGGTCTGTAATAAAGACTCTTAAAACTTTCTGCTATGGTTGTGTCACTGCAGCCTTGGTGGACCCAGGGAACAGTGCAGGTGGGTCCTAGATAATCTTTTCTCTCTGTGTCTCTGATTGCTTCTGGGGAACAATGGCTACTGACAGAGAAACAGCTCTGCCTTGGGGATGAGAGTTGGAGAGCAGATCCAGTCTCCTCAGGACACTGGAGACAAAGAGTGCCAAAGAATCAGGCTGGCATGCTGAGCCTAGACACCATTTTATTCACTCTATTTGAGCAGTTTCTACTGAAGCTCCATAACAAGTGGGAGGACCTAGGAAAAGCCTACTTTCCTTCATGGCATAACTCTTGAACAAGACAAACTCCTAGGACATGGCTCCTGCTCTGAAATGCCAAAAAACCAACATCCAAAATAAGAAGAGCAAAGGGTCTGTGGCCTGACGCTTAAAAGTCAGATTTCTCTTCTATGGCCAAGATGACTTGTGCTCAGGATGCCATGTAGCCCCCAATTCTGCTGAGCCTAGAGGGAAAGAACACAGGATCTGCTTCTGACAAGCTGTGGGTCAGCAAGTGGGGCACTCACAGACATGATGGCCTGTGCACAGAGAGATGGCCAGAATGGACAGATGGACACTGACAGACAGCAGCCCACAGTGGTCAGAAACATCAGTGGCCACAGTGGATCTTCAGAGAACTTGGCATGTGGCCTGGGCTCACCGTCATGGAGGACTCCGTGGACCTCCTGTCCAGTGACTTGGCTCTTCGGTGTGGAGACAGGGGGGAAGCCGAGGCATCTGAGAGAGTAGCAGTGGGGGCTTCGCTGGTGAAGTCCTGTAGCAGAGAGCAGCCGCCCATCAGTATAGCCTGAGGCAGCTCAGGCAGGCACAGGGGTGGCAGCTGAATGGTCAATCATCCCTTACTGAACAGGAAGGTGCCTTGCTCCCAGTGAGGGACAACACTCTAAATAGGCCCCACTACAGGTCGGAGACAACCTGGGTCCTGGGATATTCTGGGCAGTAGAGAAGATTTTTCTTTTGGATGCCACTCACCATCACTGTCCTGGTCCCACCCTATTTTCTAGCTTCTTGGGACCCAGAAGGGCCAGGGGGCACCTCATGAGCAAGAAAGAAACCAGGGAAGGACTGAGACAAAGCAGAATACAGAAGAGGCAGGTTGGCAGGCACATGCCTAGGAGGAGGACTGCGAGGTTGATGGATCTAATAGACTCAGTAGAGAAATGAGGGCATGGCTGTCACTTGAAAGACAGGAAAGAAGATCTGATGTTCAGTTGTGTTGGTGGACTGCCTCAGAGAGGAAAAGAAATGCTAGTTATGACCTGGGACTTGAAAATTAATTCAAACATCCTCTAGTAGGGAAAGATGAAATTGTAGAAGAAAGAGGCAGAAGACAGCTTGCCTCAAGAAGCTCAATAATGAGGCTAACAGGGAGCAGAGGCCTGGAAGAAGCATATTCCTTGCATGTGGGGCACTTCAAGTGCTTAGGGTAGTGTGATGCCCAGACCCCCAGCCACCTCTGGGAGGCCCATTTGGACCTGGGTGCCCTGATCCCAAGAGCTCACCCGCTTCCTAGGGAAGGTCCTCTTCTCACTGCGGCCCTGGCGAGTATCACTTGATGGGGAGGGCATGGCTGATGCATTGGTCTCCATGTGTTCTGCTTTCTCAATGTCTAAAGCCTCAAATTTCTCAATTACCTGGGACCTCCTGCAAGAGAAGACACAGGGCTGGCTAAGACCAGAGAATCCCATGTTCTCAAGATAGGCTTAATCTTGATTAAAATGGGCTCTTGCAGCTTCTCCCTATACCTGGCCCATCCCATTGGGTCCCTGTGCCAGTTTCCTCCAGCCTCCAACAGGCACTGACCAGGCTTCAAGCACAGGCTTAGACAACCCAAGCTCCATTTGTAACCCCTTTCATGGCAGGCTGGAGCACTTCAAACCATGGCTCTTCCCTGACAGGCCTGTGCCCAGCCCTGCTCCCATGCTGAAGGCCCCTGAGGCTTTGTGGTGCTGATTCATGTGGCACTCACACACGTTGGCACCTGGCAGCAGTCCTCAACCAGAGACATAATCAAAGGACAATCACCATCTCTGCGTACATTGCACTTTTCCACAATCACAGTATAGTCTCACCCCAAAATGTCCAAATTTTAGCAAGAAAAAGACCCATGAATTAACATTATTTCTGCCAACATTTAAAAGGAATCAAAAACCAAATTAAAAACAAAGCAGGTTGATTTCATGTAATAGGGCTGGCGGCCTCATCAGGTGGTCTGCTGCTGAGACGAAGCTGAGATGGGAGCGAAGCGGGTGGAGGAGGCGTGAACGCCACAGCGACACAGCAGAGGGCGGAGAGGGCAAGACCTGAAAGAAAACAAGGCTGGAAAATGAATGAACAGAAAAGGGTCTGCTTTTAAAAATTAAATAATGGTAAATCAAAATTGTTCAAAGAATTAAAGCAGCAAAAAACCAAAGTGATCGTTGAGGAAGGAGAAAAATACCCATGATTATCCCAGTGTGAGGAGTCACCATGGTGGGTGGGGTTAGGCAGGAAAGCTGTGGGCTGTCCTGGGGAGGGAGGTAAGAGGATTGGAATTTAGACTTAAGACTTGTCAGGACACCAGTCTCCTCACTGAACCTGGGGCTACCTTGGTCTCCATTCTTAGGGAGCATGTCACTTTTATTCTGAACAAGTGGCCTAAAAATCAGGGGAAGCAATGCAGACCACCCTTCCAGAAGACTAAAACCTCTTTACAAAGAAAGAGGGCTTGTGCCCTGGAATTCTACCCCTTGCCCTGAGGCAGCTTTTCTTTAAGGGTTAGTGTATCCACCTCCAAAGGCCCCTTCTTCCAGGGAGGCAGAATTCTACTGGTAAAGCTCAGGAAGGCACACAGGTGCTTTGCTTCCTCCCACAGCATCTTCTTCAGAAAGAGACTCATGCCAGGCCAGCCAACTGCACCCACAGAGAAGGCGGTTCTAAGAGGAGCAGGAGGAGGTGGGTTGTGAGAGCAGGAAGCTACTAAGAAGCTGCCAGATCACCAGGCACAAGGAAAAGCTTTATGTGCACTGAGGCATCTAGCAAAACCAAATTGCTGCAATCAATGGGCCTTAGTGCTGTTGCTCCATCTGGCCTAAGAGCCCTTCCACTTGACTTGGAGGCCTCAAAGACCCCAGGACAGCACTGAGGCCAAAGTGCATGCTGTAGACCCACAGAGCTCCACAGAAAACAGGCAGCCATTTGTTATGACAGCTCCACACACATTCTAGATGTGAAGACCACAGGCTCAGGCAACCTCTGCCATAGCTCACTGTGCAGAGTGGGTGGTGTGACAGCAAGCACACTACTCAGGTAGAACTGAGAACAAGTGCTGTCTGCCTGCTGTAGTGGTGGGATTCTCAAGGCACTTCACACAGGACCATGGTTTCCTAACTCTCAGCAGCCAGACACAACTCTGGCTGTCCAAGAAACATTTGCAAAAGACTCTGGAAATCTGAAGAGCAGACACTTGAAGCTCAGGGCCCACTGTGATCAGACAGGATTGCTTACTAGCTCAGCTGGGGCTTGTCAAAAAACTGGCTCCATGATCAAGACAGCTGTGGCTGATTTCCTGCCACTCTGGAGACTGAGCTAACTACTAGGGACAGGATCCACTCTGATGCAGGGTGGTCTATCCGGGATCTGGTGAATGAGCCTTTGAGAGTAACAACAGCCAGTTAGAGGTCATTAGGATCAGTGAGAAAGGGACAGTTATAGGGTTAGTAGGTATAGGCAAATCAAGAGTGCAAACACAAGCTAAACCCATCCCACTGTGGCAAAGAGCATGCTAGAACAAAGCCCCAGAGATTGCATCTATCCCAGGCAGGTAAATAAGAATGAGTTTAAAATTAATCTCTCCAAGAAGCCAAGCGAAGCAGGTATGCAAAATGTTAATTCTGTGGTCTGGCACTAATACAGGACATGGCTGATCTCACTCTGGAGTTATGACACACAGCCTGCTCATCAGCCAGTGCAGTCTCCCCTGCCCGTTCTGTCAAACTCCTCAATCATTAGTGTAATTTTTAACTTACAAGTTGATTAAATGCTTTAAAGAATGGGACCTCTCGGCTGGGAAGGTGGCTCAGAGGTAGAGCACTTGCCTTGCATGCCTGAGGCCCTGGGTTCGATTCCTTAGCACCACATAAGCAAAAAGAAAAAGCCAGAAGTGATGCTGTGGCTCAAGTGGTAGAGTGCTAGCCTTGAGCTGAAGAGTTGAGGGACAGCGCCCAGGCCCAGAGTTCAGGCCCCACGACCAGACCAAAAAAAAAAAAAAAAAAAATGGGACCTCTGTCCCTGGTCCTGGGTCATTTATGGGAATAGGGCCTTGGAACTAAAGTTTCATTAGATATTACCACAAGGTTACCTTTCAGAGTGTGAGTCACCTTTTCCTCTGGATCCTGGACTGTAGCCTCGGAGGATGATTGCAGATGGTGAAGAGTCAGCTTTACCATCCACAAACTGGAGGTGGCAACAACAGGTACCTTGCTGAGTCACTAGTAAGTAGCCCTACCTCTCTCTAGGAAGAGTGGGGCACCTTACTGAGTAGCATTCATAGAAAGTAAACTTTGGAAATCTAGTAAAAACTATGAGTTTTAGGCTGGGTGCCAGGGGCTCAAGCCCGTAATCCTAGCTACTCAGTAGGCTGAGATCTGAGGATCACGGTTCAAAGTCAGCCTGGGCAGGAAAGTCCATGAGACTCTTATCTCCAATTAACCGCCAGAAAACCAGAAGTAGTGCTGTGGCTCAAGTGGTAGAGCGCTCACCTTGAGCTGAAGAGCTCAGGGACAGCGCTCAGGCCCAGAGTTCAAGCCCCATAATTGACAAAAAACAAAATAAAAAACATCTATGAGTTTTCTCACAGGAAAAAATATAAATAAATAAATGAATCCTAAATAAATGAATTTGTCCTGCAACATTGCTGGGCTTGCACATTGTTTTGTGGTCTCAGGCAGAATCCTTCCCCAGTTCTTACGAAGGCTGGGTCAGGAAAGCAAGGAAGGCAGGCAGAAGCCTCCTCTTCTCAGGGAGCTTTGCATCTGTGTTAACCCTTTATTTGGCTGTCCAGATCCTGTCTCTCCCCAGGAAGCTGGAACTCTGCTCTGCCTCCTCATTTCAACCAAGCCTAGAGGGCAAAAATGATGCCATGAGGTACTTGGGAACTTTACAGGCTGCCTCTTATATATTCAAGAGAGGAACTTGTGCTGGCCTATCTTCCTGTGCATTGGGGTCACTTTAGACAACAGAAGTGGACCAGGAAGAACAAGGCCAGCCTTCTAGATTCCAGGTAGATGGAACACTCTTCTCTCTTGGGTACTTGAGGTTCTAAGAGGAACTAAGTACAGCAAATATCCTATGAGGCTATAGTCCAGAACACAGAGAAAAAGGTACCCCACATCTGAACAGGAAGAGTGCTCCCTAGGGGAGGTGAGGGAGTATGTGTATGAATATGTACACATGAATGTGTGTGTGCATGCCCATGTGCATGTAGTGTTGCACGTGAATTCCATCCTTTAGTCTCCTTCTTACCTCCGTTCGTTGCCAAACAGACGGGCCACCTCTTCCCTGCCAGGGCTCCGGGCCCGAGTCCTACGCTCCAGCCGCCTTCTCTCCACCTGGAAGGCTTCTCGGTGGCTGATCCTGATGGCCTTAGGGACGTCGGCCAGGGCGGCATACTGCCTGCTGGCTTTAAAGGCAAAGGTGCTCCCCAGTCTTTCTGTTTCCCGCCCCCTAGCGCTGCTGGAGTCCTCATGGATAGGGGGCCGGCTGGCCTCACCCAGGCTGCTGAGGGAGATGCTGTAGACCATTCGGCTGGGGGCTTGAGGACCTGGGGAGTGAAGGGAACGGCCGAGCTCCTGGAAGGGCGATTCAGGGCAACCATACCTGCTGTTGGGGGTGCTGGGGCTGGGCGGGGAGAGCGGCAAGGGCAGCTGCTCCTCCGCCTTCAGGTCCTGCTTGGCCTTCTCCAGGGAGAAGTAGCCGCTCTCCACCCGCACCTTGCGGCCACAGTCCACACGGTCACCATTCATGGCACTGTCCTCTAGAAAAGAAGGTGGAGAGGAGGCTTGCTTAGACAACAGACAACTCTGCTCTATCGACTTTCCAAAAACCCATATAAGATCAAACAGGATCACTCAGGGCACAGTTGTCAGGAAAGAACTGTGGGGTGGAATAAACATTCTACCCATACTTTTCCCCCTCCTCCTCCTTCTCTCCTAGACAGATGGGGAGGCCTATCTTGTCTTGTGTGGGGCTCAGTTGGGAGAGCAGGACTCCACACCAAGTCCAGAAGGGAAGACATCTACCAGTTGCTTTTTACCAAAACCCAAGGAGAAAACCAACAGCTAAGCAGCCTTTCCAACTCTGGTAGGTTGGGGGTGGGGGAGGGAAGTAAGCAGGAGGTGGGGGTGGAGAGAGGCAAAGGTCTTGATACACTTGAGAGAAAGGAATGGTAGATGAGGGCAGGTTATGTACACTGAAGAAAAGGCAGCAGAGGAAACCTGCTCTTCTCAAGTAGTTCCAGCATGCCAAGTGGAGAGGTGCTTCCTCCTCAGCACTCATGTTAGTCAGGGGCTGGGCAGGATGGACAGTGAAAAGAGGCAAGACCCGAGGTAATACACACAGTGTACACCCAGGGCTAACACCATTAACAACATGAATACATGGTGCAGGAGTAGGGCCTCCTCATGCATGGTTCTTGAAGCACAGTGGTTTTGATTCTCCTGATACTTCCTGGGGCTGACAGAACAGCCTTCAGGTGCTATCTTCCTCCTTTACAGATGGGGTTTAAGAGCTAGAAGGGCCAAGGCTAAGCCAGTCTAAGAACCCCAGTCCATGCCAAACCAGGTGCTATCCACAGCTAATGCACAAAAGAGAAAGAAGTCCAGGGTTTTTGTGGGCTAGAATGGAGGCCCACTTCAGCACTGCAAGACAAGCCATCAGGACAGGTGCTCACACAGACTAGTCAGCTGTAGCTTACCTTCTTTGTTGTCTAGCCCTGATTCCCGCAGGGAGCTAGCAGTAGGAGACTGGCTCTGGCTAGGACTTTGAGCTGGGCTCAGGCTGCTTCCTTCGGGCTGGTCCTTAGCTCTCATTTCTTCCTGCCACAGGGTGGATTTGGTGGTGGGGACTTTCTCAGCACTTGGGATACTGCTACTGCTGCTGCTTGTGACAGCTACCTTGGCAGGCCCAGGCTCCTGTGGAGACAGTGGTGTCAAGGGTACCCAGTCTGAGCTGGCTCATAAGTCCTGGATATCCAGCTTCAGGGGAGATCAGGACAGCCCTACAGTGTTGGAGTCTGGGAAGCCCCACACAGAGGAGAAATTCTTGTCTGTTACCACAGTAACCTCTGTGCTCTGAAATAGCTAGTCCAGGAGACCCCAAGCTATTCTGACAAATACATGGAGAAAAAGGTTCCAAGTTTCTGCCAGAAGTCTGTCACCAAACAACACGCAAGCTCTCCCATCATATAGCCAGATAGCACCTACAACAGCAGCCTAGTAGAAAATGGCAAGACCACAGGCATTGGCTCAGAATCCATCCAAGCACTTTAGATACAAATCAGGGAGACATGACAAGGTGAAGAGAACACATTTCTGAGTAGGACACATTGCCATCTGAAATCCTTATTATCAACGTAGAAAATGAGTTTCCATAGCATCCATACCTAGCCAGTCCTTGTGGCTTCATTAATTCTGCTTTTGGACCTAAGAATTAGGTTAAATGGGTACCGTTGGCTTATGCCTGTAATCCTAGCTACTCAGGAGGCTAAGATCTAAGGATCACGGTTCAAAGCCAGTCTGGGCAGGAAAGGCCACAAGACTTTTATCTCCAATAAATTACTCAGAAAATGCTAGAAGTGGTGGTGTTGCTCAAGTGGTAGAGTACTAGCCTTAAGCAAAAGAAGTTCAGTGACAGTGCCTAGGCTCAGCAAAAAAAAAAGAAGAAAGAAAAGAAAGAAGAAGGAAGAATAAGTAGTAGTAGTAGTGGTAGTAGTAGTAGTAGTAGTAGTTGTTGTTGGAGGAGAAGGATCAGCCGTTGCCGCTGCAGCTTAAATAGGACACTTGGATACTATGCAAACTGAAACCAGATAGACACTTGGCCTATAAATACTAAAAATGTGATGATGGCATTTGCAGATAGGGTCTTTGGGATGTGGTTGAGAGTAAAATCCTCATCAAGAAGATCAGTGTCCTCATCAATATGATCAGTGTCCTTATAAAAGAAGCCTCAGAGAGTTGCTCATCCCTTCCAGCATGGGAGGATCAAGAAGTGGGCCTTCACCAGACACCAAATTTGTTGGTGCCTTGACCTTGGAGTTCCCAATCTCTACAATCACAAGGAATAAATACCTGTGTTTGTTTAGCACCTCAATCTATGACACTTTGTCATAGCAGCAATGAACTGAGACATTCAATGTCCTGCTCAAATCCGTGTGTGTATGTGTGTGTGTGTGTGTGCGCGCAAACACATGTATGGGTGCTGATCAATACTGGTAGCAAAGATGGGAATTGGACCAATTCCTATTTTTCCCCAAGCACAGAAGTGGTGTGCACTGGGGAGAAGTATTTGTGGGGCAGACACAGGGGTGAAGATATAGGGTATAGAGTAACCAACTTCTAGGATTCTTCTCAGAAGATGGTTAACAGTTTTCTTATACCTTCAAAGACTTACGGAAGGTGGGTGTCAGTGCTTACGCCTGTAATCCTAGCTACTCAGGAGGCTGAGATCTGAGGATCATGGTTCAAAGCCAGCCCAGCAGAAAAGTTCCTGCGAGACTCTTTATTTTGGTCAGTCATGGGGCTTGAACTCTAGGCGTTGGCATTGTCCCTGAGTTCTTCAGCTCAAGGCTAGCACTGTACCACTTGAGCCACAGTGCCACTTCCAGCCTTTTCTGTTTATGTGGTGCTGAGGAATTGAACCCAGAGCCTCATGCATGCAAGGCTAGCATTCTACCACTGAGCCACCTTCCCAACCTCCCAGCCTCCCCCTTCCCCCATGAGACTCTTATCTCCAATTTACCACTCAAAAACTAGAAGTGGCACTGTAGCTCAAGTGGTAGAGTACTAGTCCCTGAGAGGCTCAGGGACAGCCCCCAGACCCTGAGTTCAAGCACCACAACCAATGACAACAACAACAAAAAGATGTATGGATATTTAGCCCCAAGGTTGAGTCCTGGTCCTCCAGTCAATTTCCTCAGCTACCCCACCAGTGCCCCTTCCTCTCAGTGGAAGTCATTCCAGAGGCCCTTCTGCTATGCCCCTTTTCCCTCCCCACACCCTAGGTCCTGCTGTTCTAAGTCCAAGTGGAAGAAGCTGGGCACAGCTATGTTGGGCTTGGTGCAGGGCTGGAATCTTCCTGCAGGGGAGGGAGCAACCATAAAATAGTCATTGATAACTGGGCACCAGTGGTTCACGCCTATAATCACCTGTAATCCTAACTACTCAGGAGACTGAGATCTGAGGATCACAGGTCAAAGCCACCCTGGGCAGTAAAGTCCATGTGACTCTTACCTCCAATTAACCACCTTAAAGCCAGAAGAGTGCTGTGGCTCAAGTGGCAGAGTGCTAGCCTTGAACAAAAAGCTCAAGGACAGCACTTAGGCCCTGAATTCAATGCCCTAGGACTGGGGCTGTGCACACACACACATGTGCGCATACACAAATCCAGTCCTTGATAAATTAGTTCCCACCCCGCCACTCCCACCAAAAAATAAATAAAAAATAAAAAATCCAGTCCTTGATAAATCAGTTCCCTCAGCTCTCCAAATACAAATACACACACACACACACACACACACACACACACACACACACACACACACACACACACACACGCACTCTCTCTCTCTCTCTCTCTTTCTCTCTCTCTCTCCCTCTCTCTCTCCAGCCCTTGATATATCAGTTCCCTTAGAAGAGAGAAGAAGTTAAGTTAAAATGAAAGTTGGCTGAAGTTCCCAGAGAAGATAACCCAGAGGAGGGTTAAGGGCTCCTGCAGTCTAGCCTCAGCCCCCACAGGCTGAGTGCACCTGTGGCACAGGCATGCCTTCTTCTCTTGGCATGAGATGTAGTATGAGACCTGGAGCTTTGGAAACACATTTCCGAACATTAAGTCTCTACTGACTCTTACCTCCTCCCAGGTAAGGTGTATAACCTGGGAAGAGCTGGCTTAATTCAGATCTCTCCCCATCCTCATCCCAGAAAACCAGGGCCTGATAAATACCTAAGACTGTAGGGAACTTTTCCTCTCCTTTGGGTACCTGCTTAATCCTGCTTTTACACATTAAGGCACCCACTGTCTTCCAGGGATTGACTACGGGTCCTTGTCCTTGAGCAAAGATGCTATTCTTTTGAACAGATGGGTGAGACACCTGGCTGGGTGGATGTGGTCACAGAACCAGGTCTAAGCCTTTATAGAGGCGCTTCCATTCCTCAGCATGTAAGGGCTGTCAGGGCATATAAACCAAACAAAGGTACTTGGGTTTTCTGTGCTCAGTCCAAAGTGGCTGGACAGGTGCTGCTTCATTAGGGTGCCATAATGAAGCCTGCACTGCTCATCAGAGCTGTTCAGAAAGGGTTTTCAAATCCCTCTCTGAAGGGGTGTCAGAGAAGACCTCTTTATTTCAATGGCATGAAAATGCAACAGGCATCCAATGGAAAGGGAGAGTCTACTTTGAAGTGTGAGATAGTAGACACCACAACAGAAGGTAAGACTCCCAGGGGAAGAGCTGTGCCACATGTACAAGACAAGACAGAGCCTCAAAAAAAATCAGCTGTTGTATAGTCTCTGCAAAAGACAGGGCCTGACAAAGGCAGGGATGCACTTGGCCAGTAGACCTGTGTATACCAACTGTGCAGCTGCACACTGAGTGGGAACTCCTGCCCTGGCAGCACCTCAGTGGAACAGCATTTTCCTCTACTTCAATGGCATTAGGGCTAAGTAAACAGCAGGGTTAAACCTGTCTCTTCAACTGCCTTGGGCCCTATGAGAGTCCTTCTCCCTGTTGAATGGCTGATGTTGGCTCTATGTCCAAATCCATGGTCCTATTCTAAAAGTGGGCCATCAGCTCCATCATTTGAGTTGGGGCCAAGTTGAGTTTAAGTGGACCAACTAGAGGAGTTATGACAATGATGGAAAGGAAAAGCCCTTCCTACCCTGAACCCCTGCCCTTCCCTGTATGTTCCCCAGAAGCCAAGGGAGAGGATACATGCTCTGCTGCCTGCTGCCTGCCCCCCAACCCTGAAAGCTCCAGGGCACATCAATGGCTACTGTGCACAGTACTCAGAGAGGATGATGTGGACTGGGGTCTTCAAGAGTATGGGCAGGAGGAAGGGAGTATGCAGGTATGACCACCTCAATGCTAGCCAGACCCCTTCCTCACTCTTTAACCTAAAGGTTCACTACCCCCCAGTTTTTAGCCCCATTGGAGAAAAATGACACCTGGCCTACCTGCGGGGTGGGTGGCTCCACTTTCCGTTTCTTCTTCTGGTTCTGCTTGTTGGTCCTGGGATAGACCATAAGCATCTCTAACCACCTGGGAAAAAGGGAAGAGACATTATCAGGTAAGCCTCTAGCTCTCAGGAACATGATCCTGCCCCTGGCTGGGGAAGTCCAGACCCTAGGCCCTATGCTTCCTGACTGGAGATACCCATCCAACAGCCAGTCCTGTAGGCACTGAGCAGGACAGGACATAACCCCAGATGAGAAGTGCCACAGTTGGGCCAGGCAGTGCCACAGAGTAGGACAGGAGAGGCATAGTATATGCCAAAGCCAGGCCAGACAGTGATATTGCTACTGCCACTGCCAGCAGGGCCTTAGGGCACAATATAGGCTCCATGCTTGTAAAGAGGCATGTTTGACCACAGGTTTTGGGGAATGAGTACATATCTCTTTCCCATAGCTACTCTTATTCCCAGGGCTTAGACTTGATTCTAAAACTGACTGCCCAGAGTGGATTCAGGGAGCACACAAATAGGTAGCAACTGGAAGCCAGTTAGGGATACCAAAGCAGATAGATCCTGGCCATGAGAAGAAAACCAGGAATCATGCTAGCAAAGTTCTTCATGGTCACCTCAGAAGTGAGCAGTTGACCTCCTAGACCATCTCTTACAAAGGAAAAAACGAGAAACATGTCTCCCATTCAATCTCCAAACACATTGGGGCCTACATGCTGGAAGGGTTACTCTGGACCAGCAATTCCTTTTGGGAATGGAGGAATTGAGGAATTGCAGGTCAACAGGCCAGCACTTTAGATCTGGCTCTACCACAGTCTAACTATAGCTTCAGGTACTTTCAGCTCCTTAAGAATGCTGTCCCCTCATTTCTGAAACTAGGAGCTAGATCAAGCCACGACATAAACACTATTTCTCCTAGTCAGATTTTCACAAGGACAAAGGGACTGAACTGTTGAGGAGTAGGGGATATAAGGGGTCTGCCTCTGAGGCTCACCTCCAGCCTTGGCTGAGTGGCCAGGGCAGCCAGCATTCCCTCCAGAGAGGAAAGAACCACAGGAGACACAGGTCTAGTAGACCATCCTGGAGCATCCGACTATGTTGGACTCAGGCCTGGGATTATAGCAGTAGCTGTGCCAACACAATCCAGCAGCACCCCTGGGGTAAGAAAAGGCCTCTTACAGTTTCTTTAATTTGAGGTTGCTGTGGAAAGGTGAGATGGTAGGGCAGTAGGTGGCTTTCTGGACTGCCTTAGGAAGTGTTGACAAGCTGGTAGCTGGGGAACCAGTCTCAGTGCAGGGAATCCCAGTGACTAAGCAGAGAGCTACCCTCAGCCCAGTTCAGCCCATGACCAGTAATGCTCAACTTTCTGAGTATAGGCAAAGGCTTGCATTATCAGAGCTACACGTCTTTCAGTCCTTTTTCTATGTATCCCAAAGCAAGAAAGGAGGGTACAAGTGAATCTGCAAAGCCAGCAGACAACTGTGCTTCCCAGGATGTTGAAACCTTCCCCTGGCTCATTCCTCTGTCCCAGGCTGGTTGGGACAGAGGTCAATGGGAGAGGGCCTGGGCTCCTGGAGCTGTTCCTATGGAGCTCACAATGCTGGTGGGCTGCCCTTCTAGTTGTAGTGGCTGACATTTCCACTAGGCACTCAGAGGACCTAGGTCTCTAGAGGGCTGTCCCTACAATTTTCCCAGACTTTCTACATCAAGATCATCTTTCTCCCTGAGGACCCCAGGTATGTGGAAGAGTACGGTAGGGATTATACACCTTAGGGCACCCAGGACCCCTAAGTCTTGCAGGTGCCAGCCACTGGCAATGCCAGCGAACCATACAGGACAAAGTTTTTTTTTTTAATTTTAATTTTTTGTGAACATACTGTACAGAGAGGTTACAATTACATAGGCAAGATAATGAGTACATTTCTTATCAAGCATTGCAGCCTCCTCCTTTGTTTACCCTTCACATCCCTTCCCAGCCTCCGCCGCCCCCCCCCCCCCCCCCCCGCCCCAGGACAAAGTTTTAAGGGAAGAGGAAAGGGCTGGCTGGTGGGTGCGGACATGGCACCACTAACTGAATAGCACAGCTAAGCATTTCTGGGCTGGGATTTGAGACAGCAACTTGTTTTGTAACCCAAGACACCTGCTCAACCCATTACAATGGGGTTGTTAGGCTAGATGATAAACTGTATTCTCTGCACATGGATTTATGGAAGTCTAGTAGGATGTGTCCAATGTTACATAGTAAAGAATAAAGATGGGTAAATATGGAACTAGTGGGTGCCTGGGCTCAATTCCAGAAAAGAAGAGTTGAGTTACTGAGAATAGGGATGTGGGTAGAGCTGACAGCATGGAAGAAGGGAAACCTACCCTCCGGCCTAGCAATAGAGCAAAGTCAAATCTTGTTTGTCTACTGGAACATGGGAACTGAAAGAACTGGCCACTTTCTCTAGCCCTGAGAGGGAGCATTCAGAGAAGACCTGGGGAGGAGGGCTGCTGAGATGGTCTTGGTATCCCTGCCCTATCCCAGGCAGCCTGGCAGAAGTGTCAATACCTCCTTAGCACCTATCTTCAATATGACCAGAACCAACAGATGAAGAGCCATGACAAGTAAAGAGGAAGCTGTGGAGAGCACTGAAGTAAGGGGTCATTGCAAGAATGAGAGGAGGTGGAAAAGATGGAGCTTCTGTCCCTAGGACATATATGTTACACAAATGCTGGGGTCAAGAATCCCAGAATAAGCTGGGCGCCAGTGGCTCACACCTGTAGTCCTAGCTACTCAGGAGGCTGAGATCTGAGGATCACAGTTCAAAGCCAGCCCGGGCAGGAATGTCCATGAGACTCTTATCTCCAATAAACCACTAGAAAACCGGAAGTGGCACTGTGGCTCAAATGGTAGAGCTCTCACCTTGAGCTGAAGAGTGCACGGACAGTGCCCAAGCCCAGAGTTCAAGCTCCACGACTGACAAAAAAGAAAAAAAAGTCCCAGAATATGGGTAAGGTGAGGAAGCTGCTGCTTGGGTCAGGAGAGGGGCTGCAGGGCACATGGGCAGGCCTCTATAGTAAGAACCTGGCTGCTACACAGAAACGTGTAGGGCCTAAGCCAGAATAAGGAGAGGGAAGAGCCTTGGCTAAATATAGGCAATGATATATGGTTGTGTCACTAAGCTACCATATAAACATTGGGCCCAGCCTGCCTGGTTCCTTAGTCTGCTAATAACAAATGTCTATACAAGCTGTCTGGGTAAAGTGAGTCAGTGCATACTAACAGAAGAGACAATGGACGTAAGGAAATGGAGAACCCTGGAGGGGTGTGGGCTATAGTGAGGACCATGGACTGTTTGTTACAGGGACAAGTCAAATGCTATATATCACCTCTGAACTGTAGGACGTCAACATCCCAGCTCTAACCCAGGGATTTCAGACCTCCTTTCTGTCATCCTTGTCATCTCTGCCTTTCCTGGGTTCCAAACATGGGAGGGTGAGATTCTCTAGTAGTGGTGGAGAACCTTTTATGTGCAAGGGCCATTTGGCATGTGATGTTAGCTGGTATTTATGTTGTCATGAAAAAAACTTGTAGAAGCTGGGCACTGCTAGCTCACGCCTGTAATCCTAGCTACTCAAGAGATTGAGATCTGAGGATTGCCAGTCTGGACAGAAAAGTGCATGAGACTCTTATCTCCAATAAACTACTCAGAAAAAGTCAGAAGTGGCACTGTGGCTCAAGTGGTAGAGCACTAGCCTTGAGCACAAAGAGGCTTAGGGATAGCACGCAGGCCCTGAGCTCAAGTCCCAGGACTGGCAAAAAGAAAAAGAAAAAAGCTTGTAGAGTTATTGGATTTCAAGTCTTACCCAAGGCTGCCTAGGCAATGCTAGACCACATCGTTTTGCATGAAGCCTGTGGCTGCATGTTCCCTATTACTACACAGAGGTGTGTCTGGCTAGGTAATGGAGCAGCAGATTTGAGTATGAAATGTAGATGGTTGTTCCCACATTAAAGGTAGTCCTACTGCTTTCAGGCGCTCAGCCATCTCACTTTTGCCAGTACCAAGGCTTGAACTCAAGGCTTTGTATTCACTCACCTTGCTTTCTCAGTTTGTGCTTTACCACTTGAACCATGCCTCTACCCCAGCTTTTGGAAGGAGTTAATCTTGCTGACTTTTCTGCCTGGGCTGGCTTTGAACCACAATCCTCCAAGTCTCAGCCTCCTGATTAGCTAGGATTACAGGCATGAGCCACTAGTGCCTGACAAAAGCAATAGTTCTTGAGATGCCCTGGACACCCTTAGAGCCCATGATTCTATGTTAAGCTTAGGGATAGACAGAAACTGTCTAGCTTGTCCTCTGGAACTTAATAAATCTGAACTTGTATTTTCCCAGCAGAGGGCGCCCCAAGGCAAGCAGTGGCTCTAGCCCATGTTCCCTCTTCCTCCTTCAGCCTGGCCAGGGCTGCAGTTAAAATGTTAAAGTAAGGCAGTACTCCAATAGTGCTGCACGTGCTCAAGTTGAAGGGGTCATCTCTCCTGTATTGCAGCCATCAGCTTAATCTCTTCAACTTCTCAGATTTGCTTTCTTAAAAGTTTCAAATGCATCTGCCTCTTTCCAGCCTTAAAGAACCAGCAGGATTCTGAGATTCACTCTCAAGGGGCCAGGCCTGTTAAAGCCTGTTTACTAGTGTGTACCATGAAGTTTTTCACCACCGCTCCAGTTGGTAGTAAATGCCCCACTGCTAGACTTGGAGCTCTCTGATATTCAAGAGTATAAAGCTCATGTTGTCAGAGTATCAGCTATTTCCAAACATAGCCTATATGCCACAGAAGTGAGCAGGCTTGTCAGTTTTTTCCACTAAAACAAGTGGCAGTAGTGGGCTCCTGTGTATGGTACAGAAGACATGACCTCCAAGGGCCAACAATGAGTATAAATCGTCAGCACTGCCTGAGGCATGTTCCCCAGAAGATCTGAGACACAGGATAACTAAACAGCATGAAGGAAAGAGGGTCCTTCAGGACTGAGGTGATGGTAAACGCAGCACTATGTAACTCAAAACCACTGAAGTATAGGGTAGAAGAGGTGTTGCAGAGCTGGGAAGGATCTTAAAGACCTGCTAAGCAACTTGGTGGGTTTCACCAGAAGAGGGGCAAAATAGTTATACCTTTGGACACCAATGGAGAGGCCCTAAAGTCTTCAGGACACACAGGTGTGGGTTTGGCAAGTTTGTGAACAGCACAGGGGTGAGGCATGGTAACGAAATGATACTGAGAAGGAAGATAGGGAGTTCAGAGGAAGAACCTTTTGGTGTAGCCAAATTAGTCCATGATCTACTCTGCTGAAGATACTCAGGCCTGGTCCAAGGTCCTGCTGGTGATGCCTTGTGTGGCTCTGGACAACTCACCCACTGATGATCTCCTTGGTCTCTGCTCTGATGAAATGCTCTTTCTCAGGCGTCAGGATGCAGAGGGAAAACTTCTGTCCAGTGCGGCCTTCCCCATCCACTACATCTGTGCACTGGTTCATGTTGATGGTGCCCTGAGGGAGGGTTGTGGGCTATAAGAACAAGATGTCAGAGTCACTCAGAGGCAGCAGCAAAGAAGCAGCAAGAGTGGCATGGGAGGGCTGGGAAGGTGGCTCAGTGGTAGAATGCTTGCCTTGCATGCATGAGGCCGTGGGTTCGATTCCTCAGCACCACATAAGCAGAAAAAAAAAGCCGGAAGTGGCACAGTGGCTCAAGTGATAGAGTGCTAGCCTTGAGCTGAATGGCTGAGGGACAGCACCCAGGCTCAGAGTTCAGGCCCCACGAGTGGACCAAAAAAAAAAAAAAGAGTGGCATGGGATCTCACAGCCTCTTGGCCCTCCAAGCTCTTATTTCCTACCCACTTACCCAGGGAAAACAGGGAAAAGCTGGGTTTTCTCAGAGGACAACCAGTTGGACTTTACTTCTTACTTGGATAACAATATCCCAGCTTGGACTGGAGGAAGAGGTGAGGAGGGAGGGGGCAAGACAGGAAAGGGACAGTTGTGGAAACAGTAGCAGCCAAGATCCCGGTCCCAGAGGGATTGCTGATCCAAAATAGTAAGGAAAAGCTCCACAGATGGATTCAGAAAAACAAAAAGGTTTTTTTTTTTGGTTGTTGTTTGATTTGATTTGGTTTTAGATGCAAGGAGGGGGGGCAGACAAGAGCCAACACCCTTGAAGCACTGGCTGTGAGGCTGGAAGCATGGAGTCAGAAACCCCCCACTCCTGTCCAGACCACGAAGCATCCTGCAGAGGCTGACTGGCTCAACAACCAGTAACCTTTTTTCTCACTTAAATAGCAAAAACATTTAGATTCTGAAATCAGGGACAGAAAACTAAAAACAGGAAGTTTTTTTTGTTTTGTTTTTTCCCGGTCGTGGTACTTAAACTCAGGGCCTGGGTGATGTCCCTGAGCTTTTTCACTCAAGGTTAGTGCTCTACCACTTTGTGTCATACCTCTACTTCAGGTTTTCTGGTGGTTTATTGGAGATAAGTCTCACAGACTTTCCTGCCTGGGCTGGCTTCAAACCATGATCCTCAAATCTCAGCCTCTTGAGTAGGATACAGGCATGATCCACCGGCACTCAGCTCATGGAAAGGAATTCTTTTTTTTTTTTTTTTGGGTCCAGTCGTGGGGCCTGAACTCTGGGCCTGGGCGCTGTCCCTCAGCTCTTCAGCTCAAGGCTAGTGCTCTACCACTCGAGCCACAGAGCCACTTTCGGCTTTTTTTCTTTTTGTTTATGTGGTGCTGAGGAATTGAACCCAGGGCCTCATGCATGCAAGGCAAGTGCTCTACCACCTTCCCAGCCCAGAAAGGAATTCTTTAGGAAATTCACATTGAGGTGAGGGGCTGGATAAAAGATCGTGTTCTTACGTTTTGTTTTGCCAATGCTGGGGCTTGAACTCTGGAGATCTTGCACTCTCCTGGTTTGCTTACTCATGATTGGAGCTTAACCACTTGAGCCATACTCTACTGTTTCCACAGCTGTCCCCTGAAGATAATGTGTTAGCCTTTGTGTCCTCTAGCCTCAGATTGCCCCTAAATATGAGGATGCTTTCAAAAAATGGAAGGGCTTCCACCAGGGCCTGTCTCTGTCACCCTTCCCTTCATGTTGTTGGTTCCCACAAGTAAGCACAGCAACAGGACCATTCCTCAAGCCACAGATTGGCAGACCATCAGCTTCACCAAGCTGCTTACAGACTACTATTTGCTTGGTCTTATTTCTAGAGAAGCAGCAAATTTTGCAGCTTACATTTAAAAAGGGGGAAAATAGTGACAACTGGGGCAGCCTGCAGTTGGCTTGTCTTCCATAGCTCCATCTAACCACTTTTTTTTTTTTTTGGGTCCGGTCGTGGGGCCTGAACTCTGGGCCTGGGCGCTGTCCCTCAGCTCTTCAGCTCAAGGCTAGTGCTCTACCACTCGAGCCACAGAACCACTTCCGGCTTTTTTTCTTTTTGTTTATGTGGTGCTGAGGAATCGAACCCAGGACCTCAGGCATGCAAGGCAAGCACTCTACCACTGAGCCACCTTCCCAGCCCATCCATCCAACCACTTTTATCACTATCCATCTGCCAGCTCCCTACTGATGGTTGAGGGTAAGGGGGCATGATCTGAGAGCAGGATATAGGCCTTGCTGGTACTCACACTGAGCTCAGAACAATCACCCCACCTTCACCCACTTCATCTGTCAAAATGCAGGTTAGGTATAAACTCCCTAGACTGTTCCAGCTGAGGAACATGTGATTTTACCATCAAGCTATTTGTGAGCTCCTCTAGCTGACCTGTCTGTCCACTAAACCTTGATAATTGCCAAAAGGATGAATGGGACAGCTGAATCTTCACCTCCACATGGTCCTCAGCAGCTGTATGCCCCATGAGATCCCCATGCCCAAAAGCCTTTCCTTGAAGACCTCTGAGCTCAACTGAGAACCACAGGCCCAACTCAGAAGACAGACAGCATAGAAGAGGCTAAACTCAGAGGGAATCTCTAGCTTTCTGTGGCAAAACACAATGTGCTTTGTAGTACAAGTTCACAGAACACCTGCCTCAGTATTGAGAAGTTAAGGATGGCAGAGTAGGTGCAGGAGGAGCCTCAAGTAGGCTCAGCATAGCTTTCATTGGTGCAAGAGCGAAAAAGTACTAGGTGCCTCTGTAGATATTCATGGAGTACCCAGAGAAGGGGCTAGAAAAGGCAAGCAGGTGAACTGTTCCACAGAGGGACTTCCTGGGAAAAGGTGATGGACTCAGATTCCTTCCTGTCTGGACCCAAGTCTTCATCATCTTTTGGTTAAGGAGATGTAGAGCAAGAGAACCATCGTTTATAGCTTCCTTTCCCCAGGTCCAGATTCTTATTCTAGTCTATACAAGTGCCAATGTTAGGCCTTGTCCGGGAGGCTTCCTCTTAATCCATTTTGGACAAAGTATCCTCTTGAAGCTGGACCCCTACCTCACAGGGACGTATGTTCTCCATCCCTGGACAAGGCTCACTGTCTCTCTGAGGCAGAAGAGAAAACTAATGGCTGCAATAAGGACTTAATGACATAAAGTCATGAAGTGAGACAGGAGTGATCACAGGGAGAAGGGACTGCCCAGGGACTTTGCCAGGGCACCTCTTCTACACTGCTGCATTCCCAAAGGTTGGTATACAGCCCTTGGGCCCAGTGTCCCAATTCTGACACATGCCCTCAATAAGTGGTAGATCTGTGTCACATCATCAATAGATTATAAAATATAACACATACAACACACTTGTACCCAGATAAATAAAATGGGAATGAGGGAACATATCAATCGAAATTCTAGTATATTCTTCTCAGGGGATTATCCATAGGCCCTACTTTGACATGAATACTACAAGGCTCAGTGTCATAAAACTGCTCACTGTCCCCAGAGGTCCTCTTCCCCTTCTGTGCAGTAATTGTTTGTGCTGGGCACTTGGCCACCAGTCAAGAGACCTTGCCTTACAGTTGGATGTGGTCATGTTCTCAATCTCACCATCCTAGAACAAAGCAAGGCTGACCACCTGTCTACCTTTCTGGGCCCCAGTTTCCTTATGTGTGAAATAAGGGTTCTATTTCCTTCCAAAAAGGATTTTAATGGTGTTAATAAATGGCAAAGATATAAACTAAGCTAAGAATTAAAGAAGTCAGTGCTTATTTAACACCTATGTATCAAAATCTCACATTTACAATTTATCCAGTTGTCTCTTCAGTAAGTTACCATGAGGGGCATTATTTGATCCTAAAGCAAATGCAAAGAAAAGAGCAAATAGGGTATGTCAAAGAAGAGAACTGCAGCTAACCTAATCTATTTACAGAGCTTCCAACAAGGTGGGAAGAAGCTCTCTGCTCCCAAATTAGATGATCTTATTCTTAGTTAATCCCAACACCGACTTTTCTTCCTTCCTTCCTTCCTTTTCTTTTTGGCCAGTCCTGAGGTTTGAACTCAGCCTGAGCACTGTCCCTGAGCTTCTTTTGCTCAAGGCTAGCACTCTTACCACTTGAGCCACAGTGACACTTCTGGCTTTTTCTGTTTATGTAGTACTGAGGAATTGAACCCAGGGCTTCATGCGTGCTAGACAAGCACTCTACCACTAAGCCACATTCCCAGCCCAGACTTTTCTTTTTTAATAACAGTTTTATTTCACATACCATACAATTTACCCATTTGCAGAGTACAATTCAGTGGTTTTTAGTCAGTTCATAAGAGTTGTACAACAACCAATTGTAGAACATTCTCATTGCTCCCCTACAAAACCTGAACCATTATCAATTACTTTCTGCTCACCCCCAGCTATTAATCTGTTTTCTGCCTCTGACAATTTACTTATTCTGCATACTTCAAATAAAAGGAACTAAACAGCACACAACTGTGTCCGACAGCTGTATGGTAGCACTATGCTCTTTGTAGGATGTGCCACATTTTATCCACTCTTCTACTGATGAACACCTAGGCTGCTTCCACTTTGAGAGTGTTGTAAATACTGCTGCTATGGACATTCACATGCAAATACTCATGGATACATGCTCTCATTGCTCTTGGGTGGGTATATTAGGAATGGAATTGCTGCATCACACAGGAACTGTATGTTTAATTCTTTGAGAAATTGGTATAAAAGTTCTAGAAGTGGCTGCAGTTGACATTCCTGCCAGGAATGTTAGGATCTGGTATTAACTTGTGAGTATGTGTGTGGGTAAGTGTATATGCCTGTAAGTGCATGCCCATACTGAGGCTTCAAATTATGACCTCACACTCACTTGGCTTTGTGTGTGTGCATGCCAGTCCTGGGTCTCAAACTCAAGGCCTTAGAAAGTAGCTAAGTTAGTAACTGAATCTACGCTCATGGTTTTGCAGCTAACCCCTTTCTTACTCTGCCACATCTCCTGTGCTCACAAAGCTGGAACAGATTCATTCAAAAGCAAGGACAAGTATCTAGGCTGTAACCCAAATTCAGGCAAAGGAAACATCTAGCTCTGATGCTGTCAGCAAGAGGCCAGCTCCAACCAGCTCCCTGCCCTAGTTCTACACCTC